ACCTGAGGCTTGCTCACGCTGCAGCTTCGGAAAGGTTTGGAGTGTTGGAGTGCTGATTGTGGAGCAATGTTCCTTTCAGCCGGCTTCCTCTCCGCAGCGCCAAACTACGCGAAATTGCCGAAAATCCGAGTTTTCACGATGCACCCCCCCCCCCCCCCACCCCGCGGGAGTGTTTCATTCAGAACCCTTCGTGCATCTCACAACATCTCACGCGTGGTTAGCCGTTTGGCTTCAGCAACGTGTGGATGTCCATCGTATCCAAGCTTCCATTTTCTGAATGGCTGCCTGTAGCAGGCTCTAGCAGGCTCTAGCTGTGCTTGGCACAAGATGAATGTCACGTTGTGTGCAGTTGCACTGTTGTGCTATGGTGTACCAATCTTTTGAGAGGCTTTCACAGAGAATTGGCTGAGTGACCTCCGTGGGGTGCAGATTTTCTGCTCGCGTCCTATTATAGCTTTTAATTTACAGAGGAGTTGTGTTCTCAAGTCTCCTTGAGAGCTGGATTCATTGTAAAGTTTATTTTCTGTAATGGACCCACTTACTAGCCTGGAAAACTGAATCGCGGCAGTACATTTGGGGAAGCAGTTTGCTCACTTGGTGGTGAATGGGGAGATTAAATCATGGCATTTATTCAAAATACAATGGGTTTTATTGCTTCAATTTTGATTTGTGGATATGTGGGTGTCTTTGGCCTTTATAAATTCACCCAGTAAATTTGGACTAATTGTCATTCCAAAACGTGTCCGTAGCCATTTGGGCTCAAGCTGCATCATGAAGCAGCTTTGTGGTGTCAGCCTTGCAGATGTCGATGACGATTGGGAACCCTGGATTCACAGGTTCATCCAGGAGAAGTGTCACGATGGTCCACCGAGGGTGCAGGGGTCGTGCGCACTGGCACTGTGTTGGGGCAGTGCCAGTGCCGACCTCAGCTGGAGCCAAGTGAGCTGCGAGCATGACCGAGTCGCAGTGCCATGGCGGCGCATCGAGTGGTTCGTGGTCGAAGTTCACTCGTGCTGGTGCGTGACCGTGAGCGCTTGGGAGGTCATGTGCGACGGAAGTGGATGGGAAGGGCGGTGGGGGTGTTGTTACTGCTTGTTTCTCAGTTCCGGCAGCTACCTGCGGCGACCCCAGGTTCCACTCGGTCCGCGCTATGGTCACAACTATTTTGTGACAACTTCACGAAATCACCTCGCAAGTGCTGCTGTCACTGCCTCTGGACCACAGTCTGCATCATTTGCAACCACCAGAGAGGTTGTAAAGAATCAAGGACATGGTGCAAGCACCTCAAAGGAAGCTTTGCAGTGTTCAGTCGTCGGGCATTTGATCCTGCGCCGAACAGTCTTTGCGGATGGTGGTGTCCCGGCCTTGAAGCCTGCGGCGACACGCACTAGCATGCGCCGGTGCTACTGTAGAGCTAGGAGCAATGCTAGAGAGAAGTAGCAGAGGCTAGAGCATTGGAATTAACATTGACGTTGCTGTCAACGATCCGCTAAACGTCAGCATTGGCTAGTACTAGCGCTAGCATGAATGATAACTTCAAACTTGGCACTAACGTGAACATCGGTGGCAACATTAACTCTTACTTTGTCGTTAACGTTGCCACAACGTAACACAGCAGTGTATAACAGAACGTAGCATAGCAAAGAAGAGCAAATCATGCGGGTAGCAAAGTGCACAAACAGACAGCAACGCAGAGCATGATACAGCAAGGTAAGCTGAGGTAAGGGAATATGTTGTGTCACCTAGCATCATGACATGATGCTTTTTCGCGATGCGTTATACTACAGAATAATTATGATGTCTAAAAAAACTCAGCGCTCAATTTGGTCGGGCTGTGAGCGAATATGCTGCTTGTAGTCCTCTAAGTCCAACACAGCCACATGATACACAACATGCGTGAAAAGTACTGGCACAATTTGTTTGATTTTTACTTGCCTTGTTTCGTGACTTAGTCTCTGCAGCAGGTCTGCCTACGAAGACCTGGACGGTTTGGAGCCAGACACGGGCAGGCGCACGGGACATGGGTGACAGAGGAGAACGGGGTGAGAAATCACTCCATTCTGCGAATCGGTGTCCGCGCACGGGCTCGTAGCGTTTATGAGGTCCTGTAGTTCTCGCCGGTGTTCCCGGTTGAGATCTGTTGAGCATACGTTTCAGTGAGCAGCACATGGGGCTGGTTTCCAGACCGTCCAGATTAGGTAGTCTGCATGTCTTTTCTTCGCACTTCGAGGAAGCGTGCCTCCTGCATGAACGCCTTGGGCAACATGCGTGACCCGGCCCAGTCAGATCGAGAGGCGACAGCATCCTTGGGCCTTAGACAGTATCAGTGTTTGCCCTCTCCGAACTTGTTGTATGGACACTGCTTGGATCCAGCGAGGCCAGTCCATTCTGACGAACTGCCTGATGCCCCAGACCAGGCAACGGCAACGGATTTCGAACGATGCCTGAATCTGCATGTTGTACTGGAATGCATGCCGGTGCAGGAGGAGAAGTTCTAGAAAATCTTTGGAGTGAAGGGCTGGGCATTTCCCTCAACCCATGAAAGACTCGGCCCAGTGCAGTCGAGCATGGAACGTCAGATGGGCTGCAAGGAAGATGCGTGACTCATGATCAGACAAGGCATGGACATCTGGCAATGCTTCTTGCAGCTTCAACAAATTAGCCTTTCCATTTTCTCCAGACCTGATTGGAGCTCGCTGTGCATGCTGCACGCTCTACACAGAATTTGGCGGCTTTCCTTAGCCGATTCAGGCTTTACAATCGCCAAACTGAACGAGTGCAGCACATCAAGTTGGACATCCGGGCGAGGAAAGCAGACTAATTCGATTGGCCCGCTTCCTGAATAGAATGGGCTGAACTGGCCTGCAGGAGTTGTTGAAGCAGCAGAAAAGTTTTGTATATCCTACTTTAGGGCATCCCGGTGACAGCTTTGTAGGTTGTCGAGTGTGTGAAAGTCGCCAGAAGTTGGAGTCCCAAGCTAAGCGCTTCAACAAAATGAAGTTTGATGGCAACTGTTGCATGATGTTGCCGCATCATGCTGTGCACCAGTTGCAGCAGCTCCTGAAATGCTTGAACCAACCATGTCACCACCTAGCATCTACAGTAACTAGGCTACGGGACGGGCGTTTGCCCGCGTGTATTTGGGGAAATGTGTGTTTTGCTCGAAAAACACAGGTTTTCCGAGGTTTGGACTAGGGTTTTGTTGGATATGAAACTTGGAAGTTCCGTGTAGAAGGTTTGGGGAGTACACGCCAGGTTGGGGAGCATGGAGCAAGCATACCACAGGAGAGGAAGGCCTAGCTTTCTCGAGAAAAACCGAGGGTTTTGTAGGTTTGGACTTGAGGAGTGGTTGTTCTTTTGCAGGAAGATGTCTCTATTCGGAGATGCTGAAAAGCGCGGCCCAAATCTCATTTTTACGGGGTTGGCAGGGAGATTTTTTTAACACGGACGTAATCATCTTTCGGCCATGGATGCTCTGGCCAATCGCACGCACTGGTAACATGGACGCAATCATCGTTCGGCCATGGATGCTCTGGCCAATGCACGCACGGGCAAGGCGGTTCTTTTCAACATTCTAAACACGCACAACACAGTAAATACCGATGTTTTCAGCAACACTGCTCGCATGCACTGGCAACACGGACGTAGTCATCGTTCGGCCATGGATGCTCTGGCCAATCGCACGCACTGGTAACACGGACGTAATCATCGTTCGGCCATGGATGCTCTGGCCAATCGCACGCACTGGTAACACGGACGTAATCATCGTTCGGCCATGGATTCTCTGGCCAATCGCACGCACTGGTAACACGGACGTAATCATCGTTCGGCCATGGATGCTCTGGCCAATCGCACGCACTGGTAACACGGACGTAATCATCGTTCGGCCATGGATGCTCTGGCCAATCGCACGCACTGGTAACACGGACGTAATCATCGTTCGGCCATGGATGCTGTGGCCAATCGCACGCACTGGTAACACGGACGTAATCATCGTTCGGCCATGGATGCTGTGGCCAATGCACGCACGGGCAAGGCGGTACTTATCTTTTCAACATTCTAAATACGCACAACACAGTAAATACTGATGTTTTCAGCAACACTTCGCGTGCAAAACCACAGACCCAAACAACACGCGATTGCTTCTTTCAGGATTCGATCCCCAAAACTGCCAGCATGCACCGGAGTAAGTGCGGGCAAACGCCCAGCCCTGACCCAGTAACTAGTTTAAGGCAGTCTGCTTGGATAGGTATTCTGTCCACCGTCGTTTGAGCATACCGGTTTTCTAGTTTAGGTCCGCATGTATCAGCAGATAGCAGCAGACGGAGCATCTGGGTGCATGGTGGTGCCGGCGAAGACATTGAGACCATTGAGAGCTTGTTTGGCGATCAATGATTTTAAGATGTATTCCTGTGCCTTGGAATTTTGTGCGCTATTGTTGCTGAGTTTTGCGACAGATTGCAAGGAGGCAGGAGGGAGGTGCGCAGACAGCCGGCAGTGGCAAAGCCAGCATGCAAGGTGCCGGTGCCGAATCTGCGGCCGGAGAGCGGCCAATGTCACATTAGGACAACCCGTCGTGTAGACGTTGAGCGTCGAGTTTTTTATATACCTCTCTCCGGGGGTGAGAGTCGCAACATCTTGCGGCTGCATCGCATTTTTTCTCGCTCTGCCTGAAGAGCAGGCACTGTAGGAACTCACTGCCAAAAAGTCTGGCTAGGCATTCTTCCATTGTTCTTTAACTTCTAACACGCACACACATATACATACATACATACATACATATATATATATATATAGAATAGATTATATATATATATATATATAATAGATTAATATATATATATATATGTATATATGTATATATATATATACACATGCATGCATGCATGTTTGCTGACTTATTGATGTGCCAGGCCATGTGCACAGCAAACATTCAGCAGCAGGGATATGGGCAACTGACAAGTGCAAAGCTGCATGCAGCGTAGCACAGCCTTCACAAGGACACCGCCGACACCATCGAGCGCTGGTACAAGGCAACATTGCCTTCTTTTCAGCTGAGAGGCTTTAGCAGCTAGCATGTGCAGGTACAGCAGATGTGGACTTCGTTGGAGAGCGTTTTTACAGGCAAGGCACCAGTGACTCTTTTTGAGTCCCAGGTCCGTGGAAGCCTTGCTGGCTTTCGGCTTTGCAATTGCGCAGCAGAAGCAGGCGGAGACATTGCGAAGCAGATGCCCATGGAGGCGAAGAAATTCGGACAGATCGACAAGGACAGTGCAGGTTGATGGAATCTGATCAGCTTTTCTTCCGTGTTGCACTGCCCGCATCTCACTGGAGCATGGGTCAAGAAGGACTGGCTGAAGATCATGCACAAGTCGGCCGAGACGATGAATGTGGTGGAGCCGCTTGTCCTGGTCTAACAACGGTCAGCGAAGTTTCTTGCATGCCTTCCAGAAAAGTCGCCACATTTGCCGCAGCTCGATGCTTCGATGCTTTGCTAAGTTGCTGTCAGAACGAGCTGCTACGCCAGATGATGCCAGCACAAAGCTTAGTCAACCGTTTCAGTCTTCTTGAATTGACTCGGCACCTGTTGTTGATGTGAGACGTTTTTGCGCCTGAAAGCAAATGATTCATGCAGGTTCTTCTGGCTGGCTTGGAGACGTGTCAAAAGCTCGCATCCTAATGTCGAGGAGGGAATCTCGGGTCACAGACAACGTGGACCCCAATGTCTTCTCGCACTGTAGCGGCACGACGTTGGTCGTAAACAAACACGGACACAGCGAATCCCCGAGGGGAAGTCGAACAGACAAAGGTCGAAACGTCCGCTTTGCGCGCGTTGCGTGCGTTGTCGGTGCAAATTAGGTCGTTGGAAAGCTACTTGGAAGGAAAGCGGCAGAAGCTCGGAGCTCGCCTCTTGGGCCCGTGTGGCATGTTTTGCGGCAAGTGGCTGAAGGTTTCCACGCTTCTTCTTCACTTCAGATCCGGTCCTCCTGAAGATTCTGTCGCAAGGCCTCTCGTATGACCTCCCTGTGCGCTGCGCCGCGTAGTAGCAGTAGCTGTGTGTGGCCAGGAAGCGACCCAGAGACCATCCAGGCTTGCTTGATATTGTCGAGTGGGTTGTGACCGATGGTAGGCGCAGGCGGGTGAAGACGTCAGTATATACTCGACAGGAGTGTGTGCGTAACCCCGTAGTCCATCTCGGAGCATCCCGCATATCCCGGCCACTCCAGGACGACTTTGAGAAGCTCTTCGACGCAATCAGCCGCGTCACGCAAGTGCCTTACCGAAAACCAGACCCGAACAGCAGAAAGGCCCTCCACTTGAAAACGGATCCTCTCTGTGGCGAGTCTTCGACCCATGCGGCCGACCCGCGGAGGTTTGACAAGATCGACCGCCGCAAGATCAAGGAGATCAAGAGCCCTTTGGCCAACTTTGACGGACTGGCGGCTCTCTTCGTAAAGATACCTGCGCGTGATGCACATGGAGTGATCGGTGTATACCTGTGAGGTGTTGCTGGAAATTCGGATGAGCGAGTCATACTACAGGCACCCGTGATGGCACAAGGCAATATAGAGGACGCTAGCCAGTGGCCCACCAGGACACTTCAAGTACGCAGCCCGAAAAAACTGGAGAGGAGTGGCTGCAAAACCTCGAAGCAGAGATGCAGCGAAGCGTGCGTTTGCCCCCGAGATCGCACCAAACGGAAGCGTGTGACTGACTGCAGGAAGTGCCGGCACCGGTAGTCTGTGTGGTTTTTGGGATGTCCTTGGCCAACGCTGCGCAGGGATTCTTGGGCTTGAAGTGGCTGGAGATGCTATCTTTTCAGACTTTCGACGGCCATGTTTGATTTGGCGGTGGGGCAGTCTTGGTGTTGGACGCTGTTCATATTATTTGATCGTAGGTGTGATTTCCTATCTCTGCATCAAGCATAGGCTATAGGCTGTTCTGGCTCACAAGCGCTCAGCTCTGCACGAGGTCGGGAATGCAGGCTGGCAGCCGGAGAGTGTGGATTTGGCCTCGAGATTTTGCAGCTGATGTTTCTGTGAAGCACGATTGAAACTTCGCTACGTCGGCACGCATCACCAAGGAAGTGTGATTTCGTCCATTCCGGTGCAAAGCTTCGCAGCCCAGGGCTTATGTTGCCGGGGCCGAATCTGGTGACACGCACGCTATGCTGCCTAGGACAAGTATATCGCCCAAGTTGCATTGTGGTGAGCTCAGTCTCTCAAGCTGTCAGGGGGGATGATGGGGGATGTCCTAATGTCCTAATTAGCTGGATGATGCAGTCATTGGCAAGTTATTGGTTCAGAGGATTTCCGCGCGTAACACTTTTTTAATGCAATGGCTCAGCCATGTGGCTCGACGGCAGGAAGAGCCTTGGCTGACCAACTGTGATGCATTCGTGTGGGCTGCTTGTGACTTGAGATGTGGACCTCATTTGACACCTTTTTGGGATTGTAGTATTTGCGGGAGTTTTTTGTTGTGCGTCTCCGGGTGTTCTTTCCTTCCTGGTTTCTTGGCTTCCCCAACTCCCTCTCGGCTTCGCGGCTTCTTGGTCACGATTGCGTGGCTTCCTGCCTTCTTGGCTTCTCGTTTTGGCTTCTTCTTTTGGTTTTCAAATTCGTAGTATAACTAACCGTTGTGACAGCATGTCCGAATACATCAACCTAGATTCAGCAACCCTCTATTCCTCCGTGATACGGTGGTACCCCACAAGGCTGAGCCTAGCTAGCCAGCTACAGTGCCGGCACCTATCAAAGGATGACCATTGAACAATGACAATGATGTATGCCACAATTGTGTTTTGGACTGCTGTTATTGTACTGATCAGAGCTGTGCTGTAAGCAACTGTGAAGGCCATGCAAACATGAAAACACAACAGTTAGACACCCCATGCAAACACAAGGTACGTATAAGGCGACATTTTAAGCAGTGTTTCGATTCTTTCGAGTATACCCGTAGCGAAGTGTCCATATGTAGACAAAGAGGAAAGATCCGTGATTAATAACAGAAGAAAACAATCCGTGAACTGGTCTTCCCACAGTAACGTTTCAACGCGGAGATTACTTCCTACGTTCGTACAGGACGAAAGGGAGAAGTTGATCAAAGATTGCTTGGCTCGCAGCAAGACTGGCCAAATGGCCAGCATTTCGTTGTCTGGAGCGATGCCGCAGTAATTACACACTACTCACGGGGCAATCAGCTCAGCGGTGTTCCCCAACTCTTTGTTCCACTCGGCGAAGCCTTTCTCGGCCTCCTTCACGGTCTCGTAGACACACAGGAGGTACATGCTTGTTGTCGAAAGCTTCGATGGCCTCAGACTTGTAGAGCCTTTCTGCGGCGCCCTTGGCTGCGCTTAAACTGGCCGGATCTTGGCCAGGCCGGCCAGCGGCCGGTTAGCATCTGGCGGCATTGGGGTGTCCGAGTACTTCAGCATCACCTTGCAGATCTCCTTGACGATGTCCGCCTTCGTCTTGCCCGCTTGATCAAACTGGCGGCAGTGGGGTGTCCGAGTACTTCAGCAGCACCTTGCAGATCTCCTTGACGATGTCCGCCTTCGTCTTGCCCGCTTCATCAAACTGGAGGCAGTGGGGTGTCCGAGTACTTCAGCATCACCTTGCAGATCTCCTTGACGATGTCCGCCTTCGTCTTGCCCGCTTGATCAAACTGGCGGCAGTGGGGTGTTCGAGTACTTCAGCATCACCGTGCAGATCTCCTTGACGATGTCCGCCTTCGTCTTGCCCGCTTGATCAAACTGGCGGCAGTGGGGGGTCCGAGTACTTCAGCATCACCTTGCAGATCTCCTTGACGATGTCCGCCTTCGTCTTGCCCGCTTCATCAAACTGGCGGCAGTGGGGTGTCCGAGTACTTCAGCATCACCTTGCAGATCTCCTTGACGATGTCCGCCTTCGTCTTGCCCATGTGCACCTTCGTCTTGCCCGCTTCATATCAAACTGGCGGCAGTGGGGTGTCCGAGTACTTCAGCATCACCTTGCAGATCTCCTTGGCGATGTCCGCCTTTGTTTTGCCCGCTTCATCAAACTGGCGGCAGTGGGGTGTCCGAGTACTTCAGCATCACCTTGCAGATCTCCTTGACGATGTCCGCCTTCGTCTTGCCCGCTTCATCAAACTGGCGGCAGTGGGGTGTCCGAGTACTTCAGCATCACCTTGCAGATCTCCTTGACGATGTCCGCCTTCGTCTTGCCCGCTTCATCAAACTGGTGGCAGTGGGATGTCCGAGTACTTCAGCATCACCTTGCAGATCTCCTTGACGATGTCCACGTTCGTCTTGCCCGCTTCATCAAACTGGCGGCAGTGGGGTGTCTGAGTACTTCAGCATCACCTTGCAGATCTCCTTGACGATGTCCGCCTTCGTCTTGCCGGCTTCATCAGACTGGCGGCAGTGGGGTGTCCGAGTACTTCAGCATCACCTTGCAGATCTCCTTGACGATGTCCGCCTTCGTCTTGCCCGCTTCGTCAAACTGGCGGCAGTGGGGTGTCCGAGTACTTCAGCATCACCTTGCAGATCTCCTTGACGATGTCCACGTTCGTCTTGCCTGCTTCATCAAACTGGCGGCAGTGGGGTGTTCGAGTACTTCAGCCTCACCTTGCAGATCTCCTTGACGATGTCCACCTTCGTTTTGCCCGCTTCATCAAACTGGCGGCAGTGGGGTGTCCGAGTACTTCAGCATCACCTTGCAGATCTCCTTGACGATGTCCGCCTTTGTCTTGCCCGCTTCATCAAACTGGCAGCAGTGGGGTGTCCGAGTACTTCAGCATCACCTTGCAGATCTCCTTGACGATGTCCGCCTTCGTCTTGCCCGCTTCATTTCAAACTGGCGGCAGTGGGGTGTCCGAGTACTTCAGCATCACCTTGCAGATCTCCTTGACGATGTCCGCCTTCGTCTTGCCGGCTTCATCAAACTGGCGGCAGTGGGGTGTCCGAGTACTTCAGCATCACCTTGCAGATCTCCTTGGCGATGTCCACCTTCGTCTTGCCCGCTTCATCAAACTGGCGGCAGTGGGGTGTTCGAGTACTTCAGCAGCACCTTGCAGATCTCCTTGACGATGTCCGCCTTCGTCTTGCCCGCTTCATCAAACTGGAGGCAGTGGGGTGTCCGAGTACTTCAGCATCGCCTTGCAGATCTCCTTGACGATGTCCGCCTTCGTCTTGCCCGCTTGATCAAACTGGCGGCAGTGGGGTGTCCGAGTACTTCAGCATCACCTTGCAGATCTCCTTGACGATGTCCGCCTTCGTCTTGCCCGCTTCATCAAACTGGCGGCAGCGGGGTGTCCGAGTACTTCAGCATCACCTTGCAGACCTCTATGGCGATGTGCACCTTCGTCTTGCCCGCTTCATCAAACTGGCGGCAGTGGGGTGTCCGAGGACTGCAGCATCACCTTGCAGATCTCCTTGGCGATGTCCACCTTCGTTTTGCCCGCTTCATCAAACTGGCGGCAGTGGGGTGTCCGAGTACTTCAGCATCGCCTTGCAGATCTCCTTGACGATGTCCGCCTTCGTCTTGCCCGCTTGATCAAACTGGCGGCAGTGGGGTGTTCGAGTACTTCAGCATCACCTTGCAGATCTCCTTGACGATGTCCGCCTTCGTCTTGCCCGCTTGATCAAACTGGCGGCAGTGGGCTGTCCGAGTACTTCAGCAGCACCTTGCAGATCTCCTTGACGATGTCCGCCTTCGTCTTGCCCGCTTCATCAAACTGGAGGCAGTGGGGTGTCCGAGTACTTCAGCATCACCTTGCAGATCTCCTTGACGATGTCCGCCTTCGTCTTGCCCGCTTCATCAAACTGGCGGCAGTGGGGTGTTCGAGTACTTCAGCATCACCGTGCAGATCTCCTTGGCGATGTCCGCCTTTGTTTTGCCCGCTTCATCAAACTGGCGGCAGTGGGGTGTCCGAGTACTTCAGCATCACCTTGCAGATCTCCTTGACGATGTCCGCCTTCGTCTTGCCCGCTTCATCAAACTGGCGGCAGTGGGGTGTCCGAGTACTTCAGCATCACCTTGCAGATCTCCTTGACGATGCCCGCCTTCGTCTTGCCCGCTTCATCAAACTGGCGGCAGTGGGGTGTCCGAGTACTTCAGCATCACCTTGCAGATCTCCTTGACGATGTCCGCCTTCGTCTGGCCCGCCTCATCAAACCTTCTGAGAACGGAACAAGACCTGCAGGCCCTGTAGTTTCGAGACGAGTCACTGTTTTGTTGCTGTGTTGCCGGAATCCTTGCCTGACTTGCTCGAGTGCGAGTGCCTTAGCAAACTTGATCACCTCTGTCGCAATCTTCGGGAGCTCCTCCGGCTCCGTTCGGGTCTTAAACTCTTTAGACTCTCGATCACCTATTGCAGGCGAAAAGATCGTTTAACTCTAGGAGGAGCCGCACTGTGAAGTCGTCGGAAGCTCTGTTCTCCTTCTCGGCCTTCTCGATGTCGGCCATCTGGCCAGAGCGCTGGAAACACTTTGGCGCTGGAGAGGAACTTGAAGTGAATCGTTTCAACGGTGTACTTGGAGAGGTCAATCTCCACGACTCGTCGCTTCAGGTCGAAATCGTTAAAAGACCCTAGCCGCTTTGTTCTTCATCCTTCTCGTTGTGAGGACTGGATCTTCTCCTCTGAGATGTTCTGGTTGAACTCGTCGCTCTTGCGGAATTTCTTGTCGACGCGGCGTGCCCGCGCTTCTCGTACGGGCCATGGTACTGTGGCCGCGAGATTCCTTCGTACTGGCAAGTTGGGCCCTTTCGTGTATGCATGTACAAAAAGATATACAATATATATATATATACATATCCATATATGTACATGTACATGTATATGTATTTGCATATGCATATGTATATGTATATGTATATGTATATGTATATGTATATTGTTATTGTATATGTATATGTATATGTATATGTATATGTATATGTATATGTATATGTATATGTGTATGTGTATGTGTATGTGTATGTGTATGTGTATGTGTATGTATATGTATATGTATATGTATATGTATATGTACATGTACATGTACATGTAGATGTAGATGTAGATGTAGATGTAGATGTAGATGTAGATGTAGATGTAGATGTACATGTAGATGTAGATGTAGATGTACATGTAGATGTAGATGTAGATGTAGATGTAGATGTATATGTATATATATATATATACATATCATGTCGCACATATACATGTATATTCCTCTAGAGATATACTGCATGCAGACTACGTGCTGCCACGGGCGAGTCAGAGGATGCCGGAAAAACTCCAAGGTGTGTCAAGAGATCACGAGGCCGAGAAACGGATTCCGGGGGTCATGACACGCTTTTTGTGCGTTCATGCATGCCACCGCACATACAGCGAACAATTGCCAGAAACTCTGTCAGCAAAACACAACCCTTAAGGACCAGGATTGGTCCAGCTGAGCACTGTCTCTTGGAAATGATTGTTATTGCTGAACATGACAGCCTGGAGTGGGGCATGACTGAGTGTGCATGGCGACGTGCATGTTGTGCGTAGTGTAAGGAGAGCGTCAGAGCTGGGCGACCGGCTCTTTCTCATGCGTTGGGTGTCAAGCAGTATCCCGAAATTTCAGCCAAGCCTGTCAGCGAACGTCAGTGGGCTTATTTGGGTAAGCAAGCCAGTCGAGCGATTTGGGGCTCGGCTTGCTTCACATCGCTAGCTTGCTCGAGGCGGTTCGTGCGGGTCAGGAGACTAAGGAGATTGGCCGGTGAGTGGTTTGCCGGAGAACAGGACAGCAGAGAGTTCCAGTCCGAAGAGGAATATTTGGAGGCACTCGAAGCCGATGCCGACTTGCCAAAGGGCTTCGGAATTGCATCAAGCAGTTTGACTTTTGTCCCCGAGGAAGCCCAGGAAATGGGGGAGCTCCCCATGCGAATAACTGTAATCCACGTTGACGAGCCCAGTGACATGGTCGCAGCAGTTTTCACACAGAATGCGTTTCCGGGTGCTCCGGTTCGGGTTGGCCGTCGGCGCTTGTCAGAAAGAGCGCATCTTCAAGCCATCGTTGTGAACAACAAAATCAGCAATGTCTCCCCTCCGGATGCGGATGGAGGTGTAGCGGCAAGCGAGGAGTTGTGCACGGAGCTTGCGAAGAAGCTACAGCTACCGGCTGCAACGGCAGTCCTGCCAAGTTCCACAGGGGTGATTGGCTGGAGGCTACCCGTGAAGGAGATGGTGCAGGCTCTCCCATCCTCCGAGATGCTGAACAAAGGCAGCGCCGTTCCCGCCGCTCGTGGAATCATGACTACGGATCGTTACCCTAAGCTGTCGGCGAAAACCTTCGACGGTGGGGCAAGGTTGGTTGGTATAGCCAAAGGCGCCGGAATGATTGAGCCAAACATGGCGACGATGCTCAGCTTTTTGATGACAGATGCCAGCTTTGACCGGGATGAGCTACAGAAGATGCTGGAGGAATGCGTGGCCACCAGCTTCAATGCCATTTCAGTTGATGGAGATGAATCTACGAGCGACACGGTTGTTTTGATCTCGAGCGGGCAAGCATCGGAGGAAGTGAGCAAGGAGGCATTCAAGGCAGCCCTGCAAGAGGTTTGCCGCGATTTGGCAGCGCAGGTGGTGCGCAATGGAGAAGGAACCCAGCATGTCATACGCGCGAGCATTACTGGCGCCGACACTGACGACACGGCAAAACGGATTGGCAAAGCAGTGGTGAACGGGCCCCTGTTCAAGTCGGCTGTTGCCGGCAATGATCCCAATGTTGGGCGCTTGATCGGGAAGGTGGGGCAAGCTTTGGGGGCCGCGGGTGCACAGATGGCAAAGGACTGCGTGTGCAAGATCGGTGGCGAGACCATCTTCGAGAAAGGCCAATTCAGGTTAGACACTGCAAAGGAGAAGCGGCTGAGCAGCCACTTGAAATTTGCCGAAGCTGACTGATGCTTGTTCTGCAGTTGTGCTTGATTTTCGTGCTTTAGCTCGTCGCATGCCTTGGTAGACCCCAAAATACTTGGGGATGTCGCACACAAAGGTCAGCTACCTTACCCACAGCACCGGCGAGTGGTTGACGTGGAAGTATTCTTGGGAGCAGGATCTGGGAAAGCCGTTGCCCCTGTGAGTGCAATACCATACATAAGGCCCGATGAAACAGACTCAGCAAACAGCGGGCCAAACGAGCCTTTTGAGAGGATAGCTCCAGAGGTCAAGATGTTTTCATGGCAAGTGAGCACCGGCAGTCAAGTTTCTCATAGTTGAGGGCACCCCCATTGATTAAGCCTAGGTTCTGGGATCTGACTTGACCACCGAGTACGTGAAGATCAATGCAGACTACCGCTCATGACGGCGAGATCCGGCGAGAAGGAGTCATGCCGACAGAATGCCCAGCTAGTAAGTAGGCTTCTGCATCTAGCGATGTCCGCTTTGCAAGCGGACTCGCATGTCGGGATCCATGCCAAGAATGAGAAGGTGTCACTCTGGATCCAGGTGAAGAAAACCCTTTGCAGTGAGTAGCCCCGAGCAGCATTCGTCAGGAGAGCAAGTGCCGGCAGATGTTGAAAAAAGTTTGCCTGTTGTGCAGCATGATGTGATGCGAGAATATTTCGCTCGTGAAACCACTGAGCCATTGTGGAATCCAGGCTGGGAATCCAGCTGATTTGGACGACAGACTTCCAGCAGGCCCGGAGCTCAATCTGAGCCAGGGTGCTCCAGTGCATCAAGCGAATATTCCCCAAGTAGTGCGGCGTGTGGTACTGGTTGTGCCACTAAAAGTTTGGACCGACAGGGACCGAACGGCTGCCCCTTCACAGGGATTACGTGGGACTACCCAAGGGTCGTTTTCGTTCTCAGATGCAGCGCTTTTGATATCTGAACTTTGGCGGGGGAATTGCGCAACGGAGAGGTAAAATGTAAGCTCGTGTGCTGCGCCGAGCAGCTGTTGATCATTGTTGATCCACCCGGCCGATGAGTCTTTGACGAGCAAGCTTAGGGGGATTCTAGGTTTTTTTTCGCATGTTTCCGCATTGGGCCCAGATCGTTCTCTCTCCCTGACGCCGTGAAGGACGCACTTGGTGCTCTGTTCTTGTTCTGTCAGTCGGTTCCTGCAAAACACAAGCAGTCGTCTCCCAAGTCATGACTGGAAAGCTTCTTGTTTCAGTGCAAAGCTAGTCGGGGAATTAATGCGTTTTTGCCTTCTGTTTCAGCTTCAGAAGGTGTGAGTGGTCCGGCTGTAGCGCCGGTGGCTCCAGCTCAGTGTCCGGTTCCTCCGAATCCCACTTTGGGAGGGGACCAACTGCAGCAGTTGATGTTGTTCTCGAGTGACATTTGGGGTCGATGCCGGTGAATTACTCCGTCCGAGAGCTACTCATTTCCACGAAACTTGCGATCGACCCGGTACGGAGGCTTGATAAACAAATTCCATGATGTTACTGATATTTTCTATGTCTTGAAGGCTGAAGGCTGCAGGCTACCGAATGCAGTGCTGATCACCATTAGCATTCGGCTGGGACCCGTTTATTGCACGCCGATCTTAGGCATTGACAACCTTGGCGCGAGAGAAGGCTCGTTTGACATGTCATTGCATAGCGCTTCTTACAGATTTTGAGTGCAGAGGCACTGCACATGACAACTTGGACCCTCGGAAATAAGCAGAGCACACCCTCAGATCTGAAGGACAAGACGGTCATGACGTCCACCCGGAACAAGTCGTTCGGTGGCACTGATTCCAGGATAAACAAGACTGGCATGATTTTGCGAGCACAGGGCGGAAGAAGCCTACTTCTGTTCTGAAATTTCAGTCAGACTTGAGCCGCGTACTCCACAGTCCACCCCCGAAGCTCTCGGGCTGTAGCAAGCACATGAAAGATGCTTGATATTTTGGGTAAGTTAGACGGGAGGGTCTCTATTCAGCTAGGTAGGACATCTCAGGTCGAAGACACCAAGCGGTGACAGAGATGTTGTTCAGGTCTCGCTGTACCCCGGTCCGTAACAGAGCATCAGAGGAGTTGTGAAGGCATCAACCGTGAGCTCGAGGTCAGGGCGCTCTCAGATTCTCAATAGCACCGAAAACCATGAACAACTCCTGAAAGTTGCCATAGATCTCGAAGAAATTTTCTGCATGAGGGGCCTGAGTTTCAGGTTCGGGCAGCTGCTGACGGACCTCATCCAAGTTTGCCTACAGGGTGACCTGTCCAAGTGCGACACCCATTGTTGCGACGTGGAAGGAGGTCCAATCCTCACGACTTCTACCGATCAGGCTGAGGCGTATCAAATATGAAACGCTCGTGGCGACCTCGGTTCTTCTTGCTTCACGGATGATTGGCGGCCACCAGAATCGCCCCTGGTGCAATTCTGGGCCCTGCTAAGCTCGTGGGTGGCGCGCTGTACCGCTGCGAAAAAGTTCAGGTGACGATCCATGTCCATCAAAAGGATCTTTTCATGGAGGCCCTGGTTACTCGGTAGCTGCGAAACTCCAAGCATGTTTGTGCCTCTCGAGTTGAGGTCATGAAGAAGCCAAAGGACATGAAGGTCAAAGACGAGAATGATTTCGAATGGCTGAAGCAGTTCCTGCGTTGCAATAGAGAAGAAGTCTGTCAAAGCTTTTGTTCTGTGCTTTCAAGGACACGGATGTATTGGCGCACGGAGAACGACCACGCCGTTATCTCCATTGCCGATGTCGACTTCGCTTCGGCCTAAAAGAAGGGGCGAAGCAGCGCACGTATCAAATCACTGATCCCTGCCGGTCAGATCTACTCCTACGAATACTTGGGATGTAAGGAGCGGACCCGGCCCAAGGAGAGGGGAGATTTGAGAGCGGCGGAAGACGCAGAAGCGCGAGCATGACGACGAGCTTGACGGCGAGCAAGCGAGCGAGCCCAGCGAGCCTGAGGCTGGTCATCACGGCCTTGACCGACCGATGTTACTTGACGCAGTGCTGCTCCGAGCCCGAGTGCAATAATCTTTCGTGGTGCTGGGTTGCACCGTGTCTTTGTCGGGGGAAGGGAAGGTCTAGAATCTAGAATAGACACAGGGAGTGATGAATGGTGTAGTGCTTCGAGTAGGACGGTTGGAGTTGATTCCCCGCCGCGGGGAAGCCCTGCTGCAGTGTGCCGTCGTTGGCCGCTTTCTGCTTTTTAGCAGAGGTCACAAGCTTTGGGCATGTTCTTCGGCGGCGCGTGTGATGCTGAGAACTTTCTGCGAACTGATGCTCAACGGATCTCCACCCAACAAGCTTGATACAATGAGGCCAGCTGGTCCAGCAGGAACGGGGAAGACGGAGACGACCAAGGACGCAGCTGAATCAGTCTCCATTCTTTTCATCCGCGTCTGCGGCTGCAGAGGACATGGGCCGGACATTGGGCATCTTCGTGGTGGTGACGAATTGCTCTGTGCGCCTACAAGTCTTCTCACTCAACTGCGACATGTGTCGCGTGAGCTATTTCCAGGACCAACACCGCTTCAAGGATATGGCGAAGATCTTCAAAGGCTTATGTGCAGCACTCGGTGCTTTAGCGTGGCAGCTTTGTTTTCCTCAGCTCCGCTCTCTGTGCCATATTCCAGTGGAGTAAGGTACGCAATTCGAGAATCTGGTTGTCACAAAGCTGTAGTACATCAGCCGGTGCATCAATTTCCGGTCCAATTGCGTACCCGGCGAGCCATGCCGCAGCGCGACATGGGCCTGTGCCCATGCCTGGCCCTGGCGAGCCAGCGGTCACCGCGCATCGTCAGACCGCCCATGCAGCTGCCTGCTTCACGGCCTGGCCAGACTGGCCGCTTCAGTATCGGCAGCTTCAACATTCTCACGCCAAGGTTTGCAGATGTAGACTACTATCCGTATGTGCCACCTGCGTTCCGGCAGTGGGCTTATCGAAGGCCCTTGATCATTGAACGACTGTTGTCTCTAGACGTTGACATTCTGTGTTGTCAAGAGGCAGCAGGAGACGACCGGTCACTCGCAGACGCTTTGGCACTCTCAGGGTACGAGCCGGTTGCACCCACAGAGCCACGAAAGGGAATCGAGAAGCCTGTGACGTTTGTGAGAACTAGCAAATTCAGAGTGGTGACGGTGGAGCATCGCTCGCGAGCAAGCCTGCTGGCACTGCGTGAGGTTTGTAGCCATGAAGGTGCGGTGGTCGCAGATTCTACGCCACTGACACTGTTCGTGGCGAATGTCCACTTGCAGGGTGAGCCTACAGCACAGGATGCACGTCGCTCTCAGCTGGAGTCTGTCTGCAGGCGTTTTCGCAAGCTGAGAAGAGATCTCGGTGTCGATACAAAGTCGAGCTGTGCAGTGATCGTCGGAGACTTCAACGAGCCGGCGGGTACCCGGCTGCATGGCGAGCTTCAGATGCTTCCAGCCAATGGCGTCGAGGGTGGTTCTGGCTATCCGTTTCCGCAAAGACATGAGAGCTGGAAGTTCCTAGATGCCTACTGTGATCTACCTGTACCGCCGGCCACCTTCCGAGCAGAGGGACGGCATGACCGCATAGACTTCATCTATCACAGCAGCAACTTGACTATTGGCACCCTCCGGTGGCCTCTGTCTGCTGAAGAAGAGGAGAGGCTCGGCTGGTCTTTTGGTCGATGGCCACCCTGGCCTGACAAGCTGCCATCTGCATGGTTCCCTTCAGACCATGTGCCTTTGGCAGCTACTTTCGTGAGCGAAGCTACTGCCAAGACGTGTGCAGAAGACTGACGAAAAAAAGTGTTCGGACCGTCGGAGCTAGTTCATTCACTGACGTTTGTTGACGTGTCCGTCCTCATGAGGCATGAGTGGCCTTTGGGGATGCTTTGACGAGTTCAACCGCATCGAGCTGGAAGTTTTGAGCGTGGTGGCCACCCAAATTGAATCCATCATGCAGGCAAGTGGGAAAGCCATCAAAACAAACAAGCATATACGAACAACGCTGCGGACCAAACCACAGCGGGGACATCTCGTTGGAGTGTCGTGTTCGATTGGTCTGTGCTACCTGTCAGGCCAAGAAGCAGAACGCCAAGACTTTCCTCTTCCCGGGTGAACCCTATCCAATCAAGCTCGTGGCGTGCCATCCCAAGCTGAGCCGGATCATGAGACTCCATGCAGAATCATGCAGATAGCGTTGCTCCAGGTCGGTGGGCTATTTCATCACCATGAACCCAGGTTATGTCAAGGGCCGAGACACGGCGAGGATTCACCTGCGAACTCGCACGCAATGAGCCAAGGCTGGACGGCAAGAGTTGCCAGAGAATTTGAAGGTCTTGTTCCGGGGTGTGGGGGCCTTGTTGACAACATATTTTCTGCTTGCGAAGCTAGTCTGTGAGTCTGAACTTTCCAGGTCTCCATGATGGTACCGCCCCTGCCTCAAATGGGTAGCCCCGGGTAAGCCTTGCCAGATGCTGCGTGTATCTGCATGAAACATCCTGTCCGGGCTCAAGAAATGCAGGTGCGAGTGGCAAGCAGCCCAGAATGTACAACAAAATCCCGGCCAGCAGCTAGCAAAAAGCAAGGAGAAAACACCTTCGGCAAAACGTCGTTGGCCGTCCGTGAAATCTCATGGTGACATGCAGTGGTTGCTTGCGCCCGGACGCTCCCACGCGCTGCAGCCGATGCTTTGAACGCTTTTGTGGCCCCGAGTGTCAGCGGAAAGCCTGGCCGGTTCACAGGCTTCGATGCTCTTTGAAGGCTGGTAAGAGTAAGAGTGTGCTGCATTCGAAAGGTTCAGTGCATCATCAGAGCAAGAGCAGGGAATGCTTCGGCCAAAGCATCCCGCAACTGGATAGACAGACATTCGAGACGGCACCACCTGTGCCCTCAATTCCGATCCCAGAAGCTTTGCGCATGATTCGTGATTTGGCTGAGTCGCAGAACTTGCTGGATGCGCTTGGCACAGGCTTGCAGGCTGCTTTGGATGGGTTAGCGAGAGTGGCTCGGGCAGAGTCCGAAGATGCAGTGACGCTTCAACAAGTGATGGATGTACTGTGGCAGAAGTGCGGCTGGGAGCCTCACATGCAAGAGAAGCACGAATATAGCCTTTTGCACCCCCTCCCCGAAAGTAAGGCAGCCGAAAGCGTTTCGCTCAACAGCACTGCAACGGCGCCGAACGGTTTCCGAAGCGTCACAGAGACCACAGCGGAGAAGGCGGCTCCTCCAAGACATGATCCGGAACTGATCGGCCACCAGTGCCCCGTTGTAGATGCGAAGGGCTGCTTATCACCTGAAGTCAGGGAGCAGCTGGCGCCGTTTCTGAATCCTACTTCACCATACCCTTGCATAGTTCGAAACCTGCCCATATTCAATCGAGCTGTGGACAGGTGGGACGTGGATTATCTGTATGAGCACATGGGTACGCAGCTTTACCATACTTTTGCTTCTTCTCAGAATGCAAAGCGCTTCGCCTACTCCTTCGAGTGCCGCAATGAGGGAGGTTATGAGCCAAGCACCATTGCAGAGGCGTGCAGGATGACATTTCAAGACTTTGTGCATAAGCAGCAAGTTAACGAAGACGGCAAATCCTATTACTTGCAGACACCGGTGTTGCGATATGAAAATGGCATAGTTACCTCTGCCAAATTCGATGACATTCTTGAAGCAGACTTGCATACCATGAACAGACAACTGGTCCACGAGATTGCTCAAATGGGTTGTTTCGGCGAGCTTTCACGAAACCAGCTGTTTGTTAGCTATTCCGACTTCTTGACCGCGGCACACTACGATCAGCAGCACAATTTATACTTGCAGCTGAGAGGCTGCAAACGTTTCTTGCTGTTCGATGTGACGTGTGCAGAATGCCTGTATCCATACCCGGTTCATCATTCACTTGACCGCAAGGCTCGTGTCGATCTGGAGGATCTCGATGTGAATCAGTGGCCACGTGCAGGTGGATTGAAAGGTCGGGGCGTGGATGCCATGCTCTTTCCCGGCGACCTGCTGTTCCTGCCCATGAGTTGGTTCCATCACGTGCATAGTGTTGGCCAGGAGAATGTGTCTCTCAACTGGTGGTTTTATGATTCAGGTGTCTTGTTCAGCCCGGCAAAGGTTCGCTGGCCTCTATCAAACATTTCTCTTCTGGAGCTGTCCCGGCACATTGAATACTTTGTTGCTGAGCAGCTGGGGCCTTCACTCGTAGGGATGTTCACGAATTGGTGGCTTGGCTCTGGTCCTGGCCCACAGCAGAATTTGCTGGCAGATCGGTGGCGAGTGGTGCGCAACTACATCCTGCGGCAGCTTCTCAAGTTGTCTCCAGCTTCGTCGCAGTTCGTCTTAGCAACTCTGGAGCCCAGTCGATGGAAAAGTCTCCACTCACAGCCCCAAGCTTTGAAGGCATCGCAAGGTCTACGTGACGATCACGAAGTCCCAGACCTTCTTCAAGGGCTCGATGAACTGGCCCTCGGTGTCTTCCACAGCCGCATGCCTGCGTTTGCCTATCGGGTGCTAGGTCGAGCTATCGACTGCATACCCCGCCAGAAACTTCGGTTTTTTCTGGAATGTTGCGAGGAAATCTTAGCAACACTCCGTGACTTCACTGACTGGGGGGCTACTTGTAGCAGAGGGGAGAATCAGAAGCTCTTCAAGAAAGAGGAAGCTCGGAAGGCTCCCGTCGCCATTCTGCGAACCCTCGGAGAGCTATGTGACTTAGCAGAGGCTCGATACGTACGTGTGACGACGGTAGACAACGGCTTCTTTGCAAACTGGCTGCAGGTCCTTGATGCATGCTATTTCGCCACATGTGCCAGGGTGGAGCCTGACTGGGTAAGAACTGGAAAAGAACGTGAGTTCAATTATGGCGCTGTTGGGGAGGACGTGTTTCACCGTCTATTCCAGCGATTCTCCCAGAGCGACGGCGAGATATGCGAGCCGCGTTTCGATGTGACACACAGATTCAATTTCCTGTTGGTGAACGTGTTTCGCGGACAGTTCCTTCGTGGACCCGGGGCATCAAAACGTCGAGCAGCCTATGCGGAGGTGGCCCAAAGGTGTTTGCGGCCCCGTCCGGAAGTGCTAGAGTTGCGTGATCGGGTTCTTGCAACGGTGCAAGGGAGACGTTTGCCTGGAGCTTCAGCATTGATTGGCGTTCACAAGCGTGTCGACAACCCCGGAACAGCTCGCATGCAGCTAGAGCAGCGCATGCTGTGCACCGAGTCCTATATAGACGCGGTGCGAAAACTACTGCCTAAGTACAGCCGCGAAGGCGTCCCGCCCATAATCCTGCTTGCAACCGATGATGAACCAGCAGTAGCTGCCTTCCAGGTGGCATTCGGATCACACCTAATATGCAACGAACAAGCAAAGCGCTCAGTGGGAGGCATCAACGAAATGCAGCTGCCCAGGGAAGTTCATGGTCAGCCCACGCAACTGACCCTAGCAGATGCCAGAGACTGCTTGGTTGACGCGCTGCTGCTAGCGTCCTGTGATGCCATCATTCACGCCGATTCCAACGTCACCATTGCTGCAGGAATCATGAACCCATACTCTGATGTGTATCATGTTCGCGAGCTTGCCCTCACAGATCACCGAGAGGGTCAGGCGTGGCCGGGCTACAGGCGCTGTGGCTTGCCGTTCTGAAAAATCTGAGCACGCGCAGCACATGCCAAGCACTACATTCCAATAGCAGTGGATTCAGCTGAACGTCAATGATGCCGCCATACCTCGAGGAACCGTGAAACAATTATGCGGGTCAAGTTGGCCTCAGTGTTTCGGCAGCAATTCAATCATATTGGCACGGAGTGCTGCGATAGCTCTGCTGCTTTGCCGTTCCTGCCGTTACTCACAGGTCGGATACGTGTACATGGACACTCTTGGCAAGAAGCAGAAGACTAAGCTCGTGCTTGCTGCGGTCTTGCGATCCAAGACTATGCACTTTAGGATTGTAGCTGCCAGCTGCATCGAAATCCCACAGGTTCAACATCTTGTACGCACTCTGCGAGCAGCAGCTCAGTCCTGCTGGCTTGTTTGATAACACCGTAAGGCTTGACGACCGGGTACGGCCCCGGATGTGTATGGATTTCTGATTAGAGCTCATGAGGCAAGCAGCGGCACTACGATTTCGGATTGAGGAACATCCTGAGCGTCCTCCGTCAGAGCAATCCTTAGTTGAGGGTTGGTGCAAGCAGTGGCTGTCGGACGGTGACGGTTCTGGGCGACCCTTACCAGGTCCGGTGCCGTAAAAAGAGGAGAGCCAGCGGATGCTGACGAGGAGATGCTGTTCATGCGTACAGCACCTCGGATAGGATTCACAACAAGACAGGGCTCAACACCTGCCTTCCTCGCCTCAACGGTGCAAATTTCTGTTTTGGCATAGCCTGTGAGAGTTTGGTGTCCTGCTGTTACACGCAAGATGCAGGTAAAGAGTTTGCTTCATGTCGAGCTCGTGGCTGGGTCTCAGGTGCGGGACATGAACTTGTCAAAGCTGGTTGCTGACGATGCCGGGGACTTGGTTTTCGGTGGCCTTGATAGCTGTGCCAGCGGCAGCCGAAGCATTGCTCTCCTTCTCATGTCATGCAGGAGTAGAGTGCTACCGCATGCTTTGCCCAGGTGCCTTTGTTCATGGCTTTGCTGAAGGATCTATTCCCCAAGGACGGGGTTCGTCTTCATGTCTTCGGTGTTAGGCATCGGCAAGCCGAGGTGAATGATCCACCAAAGAAGACATATGACAGCCTCGAGGCTGCTGTCAGCCTCCCGGGTTGCATCGCCAAATCTGTGGTGCAGCACCTGGATATACCTAGGTCAATAAGCTGGCTGAGAAGGAACGGCTCTTCGGGAAGGACGGCCGATGGGTCGTTTGATCGCCTTCACCGCAGTCGGTTCCGCGCATTGTTCCGAGTTCGTGCAGGACACTTGGCTGCTCAAGATCGTCCAGCTTTATGAGCTTTGCCCTGAGGATCCTTTGGCAGCGCACGCAATACAAGACAACAGTGTCCTTCAAACAGCTGTCAGGGACACCTGAGTGCTGAGGATATCCTTGGTACGGCACGGCTTCATGCTTGTAGGCGGCAGTCCGTTGCGCCGGCCGCAGGCCATAAACACGGCATGCTTCGCCTGAAAGGCCCAACCCTTTGCGGGAAGTCCCGCATCATGCAGACACTGACTACCGCCATGACGGAGGCGGGGCCTGCAGGCCTGTGCGCTGCAAACACCGAAGACACTGACTCCTGCGAGTGTTCAGCCTTTCGGTTGCCAAGGATTCCGAGAGGCCGCTGCCGCACAAGCTACAGGTCATGAATCCCAAGGCTCTTCGGATCCGCTATGGTCTGATTCTGGAGCTTGAGAACACTTCGCGTGTTCGAGTTCCGAACTCCTGACCAGGCAATCACTGATGCCCAAATGTACGGCGTCAAGGATGCCTCGAGCCACCTCCTTGGTCACTGAAGCGACACTTGAAGCCGGCTCTGTTGAAGCACGCACAAGCGTGCGGAAGCGTGCAGCCTACCCTGAACACCCGGGGACCCTGTTCGTGGTTTTGTCCTCGTCGCTAACTGCCGCTGTTGCCTCGGCTTGCATGTGAGAGCTTAGTTTTGTCTCCGCATCTTCTGTTAAGCCTGTGATAGATTAGAAGTATATGGAATTCACAAGCACGAACAGCATGAACCGTAGGCGATGAGTGGACGCCCGGTGTGCCGGGCACCGGAGTTTCAGCAATGGGATCATGCAAGTGCTTGGAGGGCTGCTTTCAAACATGATGCTGCAAAGGTTTGCCACCATATGGCAGCAGCGCAACAATCGTGCACTGAAGTACCACACCTGGATTGTTTGTCGACCCCTCGGCCTGAGGCAGCCAAGTGGCCAGCAAGAATTTTGAAGCTGAGGCGACGGACCCATCGATGCGATCTGGATTGAAAACCTGAATACTGTCCTGGATGACAACAAGAGCCTTGGTTGCCCAACTTAATAACTATAAACTCAGGACACGTAGCTCAAGACTTATGACGAAAGCTCGCTTAGCAGGGCTTGAGTTTAGTCTTGCTGTTAGCAGTGAGACAGTCCAGGGCCAGAAAACAGCCTGTCGTTGATAGTATGAACTTGGAGGTGGGTGGGGAGAGGGGGGAGGGTAAATTGAGCGGTTCACCGGTGGGGGATGGGGTTGGTAAATTGACGGCAGCTAGAGAACTCATCCGTGGCTGCCTCCTCGCGCAATGTGTCCGATGTTTGAAATCCTGGCTTGGGAGCATTCTGACACACTACGGATTACATAATACAATCCTCTTCCTCCTCCTCCTCCCCCCCTCCTACGGTTTCTACCGCTGCGCTTTTCTGCTTTTCCGTTTCTTTCTGCCTTCTGCTTTCTTCGGCTTGTAAGTTTCTGTGTATTGTTGTGCTTGTTTCTCTGTGTTTCCGCTCCTCTGCTTTTCTGCTTCGCTCTGCTGCTCCTCCGCTTTTCTGATTTTCCACTTCCTTTATTCAGACCTCATCCTTCCGGTTTGGTCCTGTTCTACTCTTCTGTTTTCCATTCTGCGCCGAAGCACTTATATAATCAGTTCTGAGGCCCACTACCACTACATTACTACTACTACTACTATTACTACTACTACACTACTACTACTACTACTACTACTACTACTACTACCACTACTACTACTACTACTACTACTACTACTACTACTACTACTACTACTACTACTACTACTACTACTACTACTACTACTACTACTACTACTACTACTACTACTACTACATACTACTACTACTACTACTACTACTACTACTACTACTACTACTACTACTACTACTACTACTACTACTACTACTACTACTACTACCACTACCACTACCACTACTACCACTACTACTACTACTACTACTACTACTACTACTACTACTACTACTACTACTACTACTACTACTACTGCTACTACCACTCCGACTGTGGCTGCACTGCTGCTAGTGCTACTGCGACAATTCTACTGCTACTACTACGACGACGACTACTACTGCACATAAGCCTGTTGAGGTGGCGGCCGACATTCACCCGACAAGAAAACCGCCGAGCTGTCGTCCTCTGTGCCTCCGGCCCTCAAGTGTAAGCATCACATGTAGACAATGTAGACGGGTATTATTCGCATATCAGTTTTAAGGTTCCCCTTATTTTAAAATACTACTTAGAGTCAGCCGGCTGACCTGCCTTCCCTACCGGCGTTGGTGATTTTTTGCTCTTGATCCTTCTCTGTTTTGCCGCATGCATGATTCTGCATGTATTCCTCGAGTTGTTGATGCCTTTGCTCTTGCTGCGGGTGTTTTTCGAGAGTGTATGCTGATGTTGCTTTTTTGGATTGTTTCGTATCCAAAACTTGAGTTTTGCGCTTTCGTCCGGTGTTTTTGCTGGCGCGACCGCTGGTCGTTTTGCAGAGGTTTTCCAAACTTTCTCTGTTTTAGTCCGTTCTGAGAACCGAGCACCCATGTCGCAACCACGATGACGTCCACGGTCCAATCAGTCTAATCCGTTCTGGGAATAGAGCATGAGTGGCCCAACCATATGACGTTCATGGTCTGGTCGATCTGAGAACAGAGCATCATAGAGCATCCGTGGCCCAACCAGTATGACGTTCATGGTCCGATCTGTGCTGCCGTTGACAGACTCCATAGCCGAACTCTCAGGATGGTACGCAAGACTGCCTGCGTCTTTTTCGCCGGCACTCACGCCCCATACCAGTGACTAGCAATGCTATGCACTTGTTTGCTTCCCGCGCCTGTCGGTATGGATAGTCTTGACCTTCTCACTTCCCAAGCCGGTGGCCCCCCGAAACGAGCCTCAAACCATAAGCCACCACCACCACCACCACCACCACCACCACCACCACCACCACCACCACCACCACCACCACCACCACCACCACCACCACCACCAGAGTAGTACCTAACTTCATGAAGCTGTCAAGCTTGCAATGGCACCTGGTCTGCAACATGGTAGAGTCCTTGTTTGCACGCATACACAAGGATATCTCCGCAATTCCGCGCATATCCAAAAAACTAAGCCTTAGAGGTGAAAGTCCTCCAAATGACACTTCTGGGTTTCGGGAAGTGTACTACAACCACGATTGTGCGACGCCGCTCGGCCGAGAAGCCTCGACAGGTAAAGGAAGACAGCGGAGTGCGGTACCCGCGGTTGGGTTCGGAAGGCTGAAACGCAAACAACCAAGGCCAATGCCCAAGACTGGCAGTGGTCTCGTATGCTGTAGTACTAAGCAGACGAAATCAGAATGATCTTGCATTATGTTGAGGCCGTATAAGTCGTCCCACAGCCCAGGATTCTGACCTTGGCAAACAATGACGTGGCCTCAGCCTAGAACTTGCCAGACAGACGTGGTCGTGGTGTAAAGGATGGATGCATCATCGCGAGTTTCGAGGATCGAATCCCCATGACTGACAACTGCCGCATTGTGTGCCAGACTTACTTGTCGGACAAAGCAACAACCAACTGGTCCAACGAAAGATGCAGGTTCGAAGTTGAAAGCCTCCGAAACGCATCCCCCGCGACGGTCCGGCCTCTCAGAGCGCAGACCAAACAAAGATCAAAAGCCGTTGCTGCGCAGCCTGCAAGGTTTCACGTGCGGGCATCATCTTCGTCTCTACGTCAGATCTGGGTGAGCGACCTTGGCAATTCAGCCGACCTGCGCAGACTTGCCGAATGCCAGTGCCTTTGCTCAAGCGTTCGCACTGGTTCGTTCAGGATGGGAACCGATTGTGGAGTCCTGGTACATGCAGCGTTTGGACATGGGTCTGGGACTCACCGACTCCTGTGTTGCATTGCTTTAGCTGCGTGCGATGCCGTTTGGCTGCAGCTACACATGTCGACAGTCTGAGCGCCCTTTTGTAGTTGTGAAAAAATGCGGGGCTTGCGGCTTGATCTTCTGTTTCCCCCAGCCCTCACTTGCCGCCCGGCCCCATTCCCCCCCCCCCCCCCCCCAGTTTTTTGGATGCGCTAGGGCAGGGTTCCGAGGGCGGGCGCGGGCCCTACAACGCAGTGGCGGCAGTGATCTTTATACACCCCTTTGGCCTGATGATGCTTCGTTGTCGTGATCGGCTCTGACAAGCCGTTGAGTCGACCATTGCCTTCCTTTCAAGTCAATGCAATGGCTCCACGAGAAACATTGGCTTTGTCGAGACTTTGGTGCGCTGCCGTCCTGTCCGCGTCCATCAGATTCAGGTCCCTCAGCCCGTGTGTTTGTAGGACTGATGAAGGCCAACGATCCATGCGTGAGAAGGCATAGGCAACAGGGCATGATGCATGTATGTATGTAGACACTGAATTGACAAATGGCACCTGGTTTGTTAGTAAGCTCATGGAATTGCTGGTGTTGGTTATGGTCGTTAGGGTTTGGGTCGGGTGCTGCCTCCCATGTACCGGCTTCGGGTAGTTGATTCGGTGTTACAACAGACTTGCGGATCCTTGCCTGCCGTGTGCGAGCCATCAGAGTCGAAATCGACGTATCTGTATTTATATCTGTATCTAGGTCCATATTCGGGCTTGGATCTAAAGGTCCTTGCAGCTACTAAAATTGTATGCAAAGCCCCTAACATGGCCAAACATGTTTGCGTGAACGTTCCGCAATGGTTTCGGGAAAGTAAATTTCCTACCCCATGACAGCTCCAAGTCTTTGGGCTCCCGGGGAGCATGGTCGCAAGGCTGAAACTGAACGGAATGCTGTCTCTGTATATCCACATCTATACCGTAGTCTATACCTGCATCTGTATCCCTGTCCATATCCGCATCTGCGTCTATTCCGATATTCATACCTACGTAATTATATATATATATATATATATATATATCTATATATATATATATATATGTATATATGTACATCTTTATGTGTGTATGATGTGCATATGTGCATTTATACTTGTATTCGTACCTGCATCCATATCTATTTCTATCCGTGGCTGTTCATACACACGTACGTAAATGCAGACCGACACCGACAGACAGGCAGACGCGCATGTGCCCGTGCCCACACGCACACGCCACGGTGTACGCCAACGTCCGCAAACATGCACACGAGCAAGCCCAGGAGAGAGAGAGAGAGAGACAGAGAGAGCGCAAGGGGGGGAGCTGCGGCGACCACCCCTCTGGCCGAGTTGAAGAAGACAGAGAGAGAGAAGCAGCAGCCCTCTCACGCCCGAAAGCAAGCAAGGAAGAGAGAGAGATATACATAAATTAATCATCAGACATGCATATACATATGTGTATATATATATATATATGTACACTTTGCATGCAGGGGGGGTAGTTCGTGCTACTCCTTCTGGCTGTGGGAAGAAGAGCCAACTCCTGTTGAGCCTACGGAAGGAAAGGAAGAGAGACATGCCATGAGTCTTACGTTACAGCCTTAAAGCCTTGTGTGAGCATGGGAGTCGGAATCGGGAATCATACTTCCGAAATGTTGCTGGGTGAGACGGGGAGTGTCAGCGGCAGCAGTTCTGCAGCTGCCCGGCATCTGCTGTGACATGAGCACCGAACACCTCTCATAACATGTCACCCCTCCGGAGACTATTTCCAAGAATCAGTGCATCTTTTTATTCAGTTCTTAACGTCAGTGTGTGCTAGCGTGATCTCAGATCATTTGCCTAGCTGCCTGCTTTTTCTTGTTTAGGCATTAGGGCTTCGGGATGCTTGGGGTCATCATGTGGAAGCCACTTTTCTCTAACTGTGACGGGAACCTCCGCGGACCACCCTGGAATCATGTTGAAATGATTCCTTCCAGCCCCCCCGAAGGCCCAGCATTAAGGCTGGCCCCATCACATGCATAGACACACCCAGCTCCGTCAGCTGCCCGAGATAGGGCGAAAGGGAAGGCTCCTGCGCGATCCTGGGATGTACTGGCATCGCTCGAAAGCACGTAAGCATGTAGCATTGCCATATGACGGTCTCGTGTTGCAGATTTGAGGTCTGGCGAGCTTGGGATGTTGCAAAGTGCATCGAAGCACACCAGCGGAATGCGTACACACGCCGACCATGTTGTCTTTGGCAGCATGGTTGGAGCATCTGGGTTCTAGATTTCAGTTCCTTCCTGCAGTTCGGTTTTATCGTGTCTTCGCTGTGAGCAAAGTCATGCAAAGTCTGGGATTCAAGCAAGCGGTTGCCAGCACGAGTTTTGCATGTTGACATCTGTTGAGGCCCTTGAAATTCGTTGAAACCACGGACGGCGGACCTATTGTAGCCAGTTACACGACTCTAAGAGCCGGTAAGCGGCGTTCATTTTCATCCTCATCTCCGAACTTGATTTCTGCTCCCCGCACGAGGCGTCAGCAGGCATCAAGAGGCGCACGAGTTGCCGAGACCATGACATGGCAGCCATCAATAGGACATGCGCTGCTAAACTGCAGGTTGAAGTCATCCGGACTGCCGTGGAGGGATGGCTGAAAGCTGCACCACCTGATGGTGGCTCTGCAGTCGACTTCTTTGCCATCGGCTTACTTATATACGCGTTCCTGTGAAGCCTCACCGCATGTTTGCAGTACAGCGAAGTCTGCTCAAGCTTACGAATGTGTGTGTCTGCGTGTGTGTGCGTGTGTGTTTGTGTGTGTGTGTGTGTGTGTCTGTGTGTGTGTGGGGTATGTTTGCAACGGGGTAGGATTGGATCTGGCCGTCGCACACAGCAAACCCGAGCACAACCCTGGCCAACGTCGTCAAGTCATGTGTCTCTTGAGTGTCACCCTTTGCTTCAGACATGTGCATCTGTGCTGGCCGCGTTGCCTCTCTTTCTTTCTTGCAGTTGCTCTCTGCTGCGGTTCAGTGTATAAGGTGTGGTCATCTTCTTATCACGAAAGCTCTCCCCAGGGAGCCTTTCGTTTCAATAATCAAGACTTGTTCTGCCAGAAGGCTTAGGGGGTGTGGGGGGGGACCCCCAAATATGAGCCAATCTGGGTCCGGTTTCGGCAGCAATCTCCCGTGCTATGCAGGGATTTTGGGCGGTGTCCGCCGAGGCCTCTTTTTGGCTCCTGTGGTTGCCTGGCGGCTTGCCCGAAGCGGAAGCGAGGTTTGGGGCTTTCGTGCTGCTGGAGTGGTGGGTATGGTCGGTATGTGTTGCAACACAATGTTGTGTGTGGCCAGTGGCGGACTCGTTGAGCATCTGTGGGAGGAGTCATGCACCCCACCCGAGCGACTTGCAAAGAATTCATTGCAGCCAAGACAAAAAGAATGTTTGCCCATACCAGGGTGCCTAGCTGTGTGTGTATGTGTGTGACTGTCGCTGGGTACAGGTATAACCATGCCTTCGGCGGCCTTTCAGTGCTTAGTGTGCGCACTCCCGAGGATTGGATTGATCGGAATCTGAAGTCATCCATGTCGACAAACGCATCCGGCTTGGGAGCTCTCGCAGTCAGCAAACACAATCCATGCGTGTCTCTCAGGAGTCCATTGTAATCACCAACATACTCAACCTTTTGTCGGCTTCTTTGCGCACGCATGTGGTCGTGAACGAGGCACTCGAGAATGAACCATTGGGTTGTCAAACAGTTGCAAACCTTCTATTCAGCACTTGCGGCTTACAGGCTGTGCAGGAAGCTGCCTGCCTTCGAGTTTTTGCTGGAGCCTGACGATCTGGCAGTTGGCCCTCATTTTGCCATGTCTCTAAGCTGCGCGAGGCTTACTCCGTCGCGCAAATGCCTCAGATGCAAGCAAGGGACTGCCACTGGACGACCGCCGACCTGCCGAGGTGGGGGATGGGCGGTTTGTTTGAACATGAAGCACGGAAGATTTTCCACACCAAGCTTTGCGAAGCTCTCAGAACTTCAAACTTCAACATTCCAAGCGAGCTCCCAAAAGCTCAGGTGACGTGATGGGCTTCGTGTGGCCCCAAGTCCTTACAACCTCTCCAAGCCCGAGTCAAAGCCAAAATTTGTTCGCAAGGCTGGACATGGCCAGTACGTCCCACCTTGCCAGGAGGGCGAGACGATCCGGCCTCAGGGCTTGGGGGAGGTAGGCTCTGAGATGCAGAAACTCGAACCTGTGCAGCAAGGATTTTCGAGTACGTGCCAGATCCAGCAGACAAGTCTCGACCGTGGAAGCTTTGGGCGCCTGCCGAGTGGAAGGTTGCTTGGCGTGGCATTTTGCCTGACAGCATTCGTTTCGCCTGGCTGGCATCGCTGCGGATGTTCAGGATCCTGTCTGAGAATGGCAGAGATCGGTCTGTTGAAAGGGATCGCACACCAAACGGCTGTGCCACGATGCGCTGCCTGGTAAGCCCACAAAGCCACACGCCTGTCAAGCAAACCCAATCCAACGCCACTACTGTTGTCATTCCACGTCAGCTTGACATGAGTCTTGTGACAGAAGCTTTCGTGAGCTCACACGACTGCATGTCGGAAATGGGAACACAGGGATGCCCATGCGACGCCAAGGAATCATGACTGGCACGCAGTCTCTGGAGTCAACACCGCAAAATGTGTTGGAGTATACACTGCTGCAAACAAGCCATTAGAGGCGATTGTGAATCAGCATTGTTGGTAATTGTCGTGTGGCCGGCGCGCGGCTCCATTCTGCAAGCCCTGCCGCTCCTCAAAGTGGTTACTTAAAGTTGCTTGCTGAGCAAGCGAGGTGCCGAAGCTGTTGCGCTTCTCCGCTGGCGCCCGATATTACGAGGTACTCATGCACGCGGCTGCTCGTGCAGACAGATAGCCTGAGGCGCTTCTTATCCCCACAATGGACTCATGCCGCACCGTACTTAGACTTCGTTTGCTGTCCTTTTCCTGTAGAGCGAATCGCTGTTTTCCGTCCAGGCGCAGAATATATGATTGATGTGATCGCAAAGCAAGAGATGACGAAGATTCCCCCAAATTACAAGCCCGGGCCAAAGCACCTCTGTGCAGCTAGTTGCCAGCATGCAGTCTGGAGGCAGCGCATAGGTGGCAACACGTGATGTTTGTTGGTGACATTTGGTGACAAAAAATGTACAAAGAACCACATAGAACGACGCTTGGTGGAACAAGGTCATCCCTGATGGTCGGCTCTGCAGGCTGATGCATGAAACGGTAGAGAGTTTTGTGTGCCAAGGCATCCTCACATGTGATTTCTGCAATGACCTTTTGCGAGCCTTAAAGCCATGTTGGCAGGAACTGCGAAGACATCAACCGCCAAGATGTTCCTCAGCAAGTGCCATCATTAGCTTTCAACCGACATGAATCACCCATCTTGCCGGCCATATGCAGTGCAGGTATCCACTGGACGTCATGCTGTCCAAGCGCATCAACTTCAGCAGCGTCATCCTGTCCTGTGTTGCCGTTGATGTTTACGTATGTTACTACTGCTATTACTATTATTGTTATTACTAACTACTACTACTACTACTACTACTACTACTACTACTACTACTACTACTACTACTACTACTACCGTACTACTACTACTACTACTACTACTACTACTACTACTACTACTACTATTACTACTACTACTACTACAAATACTACAACAACTACTACTACTACTACTACTACTACTACTACTACTACTAGGGACGACGACTACTACCCTTTACGGACGACGACAACTATCACTACTACTACTACTAGTACTACTAGTACTATTAGTAGTAGTACTACTACTACTACTACTACTACTACTACTGAATGAGCCACTTGTGAATATGTTGGGTGTAACCCTGCATCGTGTACTCAGCCAGTACGACGACTAGTACTACTAGGACTAGCACTACGACCACGACGACGACAACTACTACTGCTGCTGCTCCTGCTCCTACTACTACCACTACTACCACTACTACCACTACTACCACTACTACCACTACTACCACAACTGCCACTACTACTACTACTACTGCTGCTGCTGCTACTACTACTGCTCCTACTACTACCACTACTACCACTACTACTACTACTACTACTACTACTACTACTACTACCACTACCACTACTACTACTACTACTACTACTACTACTACTACTACTACTACTACTACTACTACTACTAGTACTAACACTCCTGCTGCTACTACTACGACGACTACTACAGAAGCACTTTTGCATACTGGTGGAGGGTCGTATCATGGCCATGGCTGCGGTTCCTGCGTTCGAAGGGACGAACGCCTCATTTAGCACAGCCAAGATGTTCAGGGGATCAACGTGAGAGAGGTGACTGTGCTGATAAATTCAGAGAGTGCGCAGCAAAGCCATTCGACCTGTTGTGCACTGAAAGATTGGGAACTTTGTGTGAAGACGAAGTGTTTTGCAGCCCGGGAGCTGATTCAGTCTCAGTGCTCTACAAAGGCAAGAGAAGGGCAAGGCCACTGCTTTGAACCTGCATCGCACATAGCAGTGACTCTTTTTGTTGATTGCGGCTACTGTAACAGCTTGAACACGAGCTGCCAGCGTTCACCTGTGCAAGTTTCATCAATAATTGCGATTTTGCCATGAGTGCGGGCACTCAGGTCCACGCGGAGCGTGTTATTACAGGATGCAGGGCTCACGTATTGATAGGAACAGTTTACCGTGCTTGCAACTCGTGCCGATCGAGACCGAGCCAGTGGGGCCTCGTTTCGCGTGAAGCATCCTGGAACACGAGCAGCATGTTCGAGTTACTGCAAAATCAACTGGCCCAGTGGAAGCTGCTGTGAGATGGGAGCCGTCCAGCTCAGGATTGCACGAGTTTTTGCAAGCCTCAGGGTAGAGGGTGTCAGTGGTTAGGAGAGCTGCTGCGAACCGCGATCCTTCACATGCCAGGCCACGACACCACTTGGCTTGCAAAGGTGCGTCCTGTGTGACCAAGCTTCACTTCGCTTTCACTTTGCAGTCGGATTGCCAGGGCAATCGAAGGTGAAGTTGAGAGAAAGACAGGGAAGACTTTCTGTCCGTCACAGCCTGAAATGTCAGCGTGCTCTGCAAAAGAACACTTCGCATGCGGTAGACGAGCCTGACAAGGGTTTTGGCTGCAAAGGCCGGGTGGAAAACAATTGACGGTTTTCTTGGACGATGCCCGGCACCTGGGACCATTTGTATTGGGGTTGCACCCTTGCACAGTGCAAGGCCTCGATGCCGCTGGTGAACAAATGGGGAGATCAGGTCCGAGCTGGTGCACTCTGCGTGGATACCTGAATGGTCTTAGCTCAACCCTGGAAGATGAGTCTCAGAGCATACCAGCTGCAGGCTGCAATCGAAACTGCCCAATCTCCGTTCATCAAGATCGTGCATGGACCAACAACGAAACAACAGGGCCTCGGAGCAGTCGTTTCGTGGTGCGCTCGTGTCACAAAGATGATGTAGGGCCTTCCAATGCTCGAAGCAGACGGGAGAGTCTTTACAGGACGCCAAAGATCTCTCACACTGCTCGAATCCAGCTGTCGTTGTTTCGCAGCGAGTAATTACCCCGCCGACAGGTGACCAATGAACTAACTCGCCAGCTGATCGAGCTTCTTGGCCAAAGTCTTGCATTTCCGACGATTCATGAGAGAAAAGAAAAGTCAACCCGGGTGGAACGTCAGGTTCAGTGGCTTCTACTTTCTCGATCGCGACAAGCGTGGCGAGTTCAAGAAGATCGAGCAACTCAAGTGCCTGAGACGGTGATTTGCCGTCCTGTGCTTTGAGCTGGCTTGCAGAGTCCACCTGGTGGCATGACGTGCGCTCAGGACCAAGCATGACTTGTAACGCGAGGTACTTGGCAGCCATGGGACAGCCCGGGGGTGGCCGAAATGTGTTGCCCTCAAGCAGTCTTTTGCACGCCAGCCTTGCTCTGCAATCGAAATGAAGCGCGGGTTATGCTTGACATAATTTGGCCTTCTCCCGAGCTGCTTGCTCGCCTCTACTTGTGTCCATCACCATACAAGTGCCAGTTAGATGCTTTAATAACTTTCACATGTGACCTTCAAGTTATCTATGGTTGATTATTGTTGTCATGCAGTCAAATCAAGAATGACTCATGATGAAAGGTTGTGCAGGCAAGGCCAGGAGATGTCAGGAGGACCCAGTGAGCCTGCGCCATGCGACGAGGGCGCTGTGCCTTCCTCCTGAAAGAACCTCAACAACAAAGATTCTGCGAGCTGCTAGATCCTGCCCGCGTGCCTTGTGGCTTGGAGCCCAGCGGCACCTCCAGGCAGGAGTGCTGATGTGCTGCATGCGTCGTGGTTCTTCAAGAAGATGCAAGCAGTGCTGCAAGCACCTGCTCGTGTGATCTCCTGTGTTTCTGTGCTCCTCTTTGATGTTCGTTCATGCTGTGTTGCCCACGTCGAGTTTGTCTGTGTCCTGAGGCTGTCAGTAGCTGTTGCAACGCTAAGTTCTTGGGTCTCCTGTCGGAGCCCCGTGCATGGACGTGAGCCAGATACATGCCATCAACTTGCGGTGTGGTGGCGCCGCGTCTGGCTCAAAATACATTCTGCGCCCAGGAAACAGGTGGTGTTGCTGTCAGTGGGAAGGTAGCAAAGCCACATGGCAGTGGACGCCGAAAAGGGCGAGCAGCACAAGCTGCTGCTGAACGATGCTGATGAGATTCGAAGCTGGCCATTGGTTCAGCCGCTTGGTACTGGTCGCATTTGGAAAATTGCGAAACTTGCTTTCCGCACGCAATGTGCTTCGGTGCGATGGATTTAATGCAAAAAGAAGCAATCTGAGGCCGAGCCCTGGTTACAACAACAAGTACTTCTGTTGCCCCGGTGCATTGTGCTATCCGTGTGCTGCAATGGTTTTGTTTGCGGTTGCCCTCCTCGCCTTTACATTCCTCAGCGTGGGTTGCTTTCTGGCAGCCTTGGTGTGTCTGATTCCAATGCCGAAGGCTCAGAACGGTCGAGGGCCCCTTCCGAATGTCTCGTGTTGTCGCCCAATCTCCTGTGCAGCATGCCCTCAGGTCATGTTTCGTCATGTATACGTGCATGTGGCAGCTCTACCCGGCATATTGGACCTGGGACCTCTATGTCCATATGCCTCATGGCTTCCATGTCAGAGATGGACTAGCACTAGGACTCTACTACTACGACTACTACTGGTACTGCTACTGCTACTGCTACTGCTACTGCTACTACTACTACTACTACCACTACCATTACTACTACCACTACCACTACTACTACTACCACTACTACTACTACTACTACTACTACTACTACTACTACTACTACTACTACTACTACTACTACTTCTAGGTCAATTAGCTACTGCTACTACCACTACCCACTACATACTACGTACTTCTTGACGACTACCACTACCCACTACATACTACGTTCTTCTTGATGCTTACCACATAACACTTAGTACTTGATCATTCCTGTTCAGGATTTTTGCAATGTGATCCTCCACATATCCTGCCAGGCTTTGACGTACTCTAGCGGCGGCTCTAGCGCAGTGATGCGTTGCCCTCATGATCGGATCCGTCGTCGATGCCAATTGTCTATAAGCATTTTGGGGTGTCCCTGCCAATGCACTCTGCACCCAATAGCCAGCTTGACTCTTCAAGATGTGAAGAAAAGCCTTCGTGTATCTTCGTATTAGGGCCCATCAATCCGATGCTACGCAGCTAAGCCGGTGATGTCGGCGTCCGGCCTTCGGAAGCCATGCCAACTGCACTCTCGTCCAGACATCCGGAATGTACGGCTTGGCACTACGCAGTGTTGAGTATGCCATCTTCTGCAGCAGAGGTGACAGCTCTTCAGCATGAGTCTTCTAGCTTCCCATGCTAGCAGAAGGTTTATGACAATTTAGGAACCGCATTGTAGTTGTTTAACTTGCTGAGGGCTGCTTGCCAAGAATCGGAGGAAACCAATCCCTGGGCAGCGGAAGCATTTCTGGGAGCTCGAACTGTTCATCATCGAAGAGCTTGCTAGCATACTCAGCCAGGGCTTCACACTCCTCTTCATTTGACAAGATACCTCCTCGCTCTGTTTTTGAGCAGATCAGCCTTCTGAAGGATTTCGGGCACACTTTGCGGATGAACTGATACTGCGCATGCGCATCACCTGCTTGCTGCGCTGCACCAACCATCTCTAACGTCTCCATCAGCGCTTCTCTTTGTCGGCGAACGTGCCAACTTTCTCATCTCTCGCTTCAGCGCTTTTTTTCTGTCACGTTCAGCGGTGGCATCCTTTGTCCCAGCTGCCATCGCATGAGATTCGTCCTCCGCGTGGAGTTGCCAGCGCGCATGCACCTCCGAGTCCACGTTTAGTGGCTGAACTATTTTGATGCGAAGCTGCAGTACCTCTCTTTGCATTTTTGACCCCCTGCTGAAATGTTGAAGATCGACCTCATACTGTGCAGCGATGTGCTCCAGCCACTGCACTTTCTCCTGCGCCATCCGGGCTGGTGAGATGTTTTGACACCACGTCTTCCAGTGCAGCTTGATGGGTGCTATGATCGGAAATTGGCCTGAGCATCGCCACCCTGCAAGCGGTGTGTTTACAGGCTTACATTTTCGAGCTCCCAGATCCGCAGTCTGCTTTCCGGTCATGACGTATTCAATCTGAGATTCGCCATTTGGATGATGGTAGATGAGTAGGTGATAGCTGATAGCTGGCTTTCCCCAAAAGCTCAGTGCAACCAACCTCCGCGTTTGGAGGATGCCCAACTACTACTACTACTACTACTACCACCACTACAACAACAACAACAACAACAACAACTACTACTACTACTACTACCACCACTACAACTACAACAACAACAACAACTACTACTACTACTACTACAACTACTACTACCCCTACCCATTACCTCTTACCTCTTGCCTCTTACCCCTACCCCTGCCTCTTCTCCTACTCCTACTCCTACTGCTCCTCCTTGCACATTCACACGCCGCCGAGGATATATTTGTCGCACATTGTTCTTCACTGGAACGCGCCTACCCCGCAAGCAAGCGAAAAGTTCATGCCGCTGGATTTGATGAGACCAAAGGAGCCATTGAAGAAGGTATACTTGGACTACACCCTGAACCTCCAAGTTCCTTTGGGTGATACGGATCAATTTTTGCGCCCTTATATACGGCCAAAGTGGAGCCAGAATTTCATCGAGCATAACATGTCTTGGTGGCCTGCATTCGACCGTATCAGTGAGTTTGCTCCAGAGGAAAATTGTGTGGAGTATGTCATGAAGCAGCTTCAGGCAGTCTATCCACCAGTTTACCAAGACTGGGCAGACAAGCACAGCGACCGAGCACTGGCAAGATTCTGCCTGTACGGGCTAGCGGCTCATCGGATTGAAACGGAGGTTGTTGATGGCAGAAAGCTTTACGTCGTCAGGACCAATGCGTTGTCAGGCCTGCCAGTCCGCGAAGGTTTTGAAAGGTACGGAGGCGATGCCTATTTTGATGAGTCGTGGAAGCCTGTCATGATTGTGGACTATGGTATGGGTCCTATGAGAGAGGATGACGACGCCACGAAGGTGGTCACCAAGCCAGGAGAGCAAAACTGGGCTCGTGCCAAATTTCGATTCAGGTCTTCGCTTTTCGTGTTGGTTACGCTGGTGGACCACCTTTACCATGTCCACCTCCAGACAACCAATTTGTTCGTCACAGCTTTGCGAGAACAGCTGTCGCCGGAGCACCCGATTAGAAGGTTCTTGACCCCTTTCACTTACCAAACCATTTCCATCAATGACAATGCGAAGTACAATCTTGTAGCACCAAGATCCATGGGACCACGCTGCTTTGCTCTGACAGAAAGAGGCTTGGAGCTCGCGTTTACAGCAGCGCCCGATTTGGTCGTCCCGCCCACGAAGGACATTTTCGATTTGCGCGCATACATCCTGAAGTTGAAGGAGAGCGGTGTGGACACAGTGTACTGGCAACAAGCCTTGGAGCTGTACGATATCATGGAGCGATTCGTAGTTGGCTACTTGTGGTGCTACTATGCCTCGATGCCAACATGCACTCTAGTGACTCTAGTGCTTGCTGTCTTGCTATTCCTTGCCTTCGTCACTATTAGCATGGAAATCTGCCTAAGGAAGCAAGATTTGGCTGACGACCCGGAGCTGCGCAGGTTCGCTCGGCATTTCTTCCACAGTCTGGAGGTCATTGATGCCGGCTCGTCGCGGAGGGTTGGAGCACCCCGCATCTCTTGTGCACCTTGGACTTGCCTGCCGAATTTGCAAGTAAACTTGCAGCACGTAAGTGTTGAGACGAGCTGGCACATGTCGAAGAACTGTAAGGAATCACAAGCCACATATGCTGGGCTTTTTTCACTGAGACAGGTTGCGTTTTTCTCACCCTGTTCTTGACAGCCAAACAGCGATTAGCTCTACATCACGCCCTTCCTGTTGCTACCTATGCTACCTCATGCCGTCTCATTCCTCTCTCCCCGCTGCTCGCTGTCTCTCTCCCTCTCTATCTTCTCTCCAGCTCTCTTTATCTTGCTCAGGGTTTGTAGACCCAGCTCCACTTCGCTCTGCAAGTTTCTCGCGCTATCTCGTTCTTCGTATCCTTGCCTCGCGGCATGTTGGCTTCCGATTGGATTGGCTATTTCAGGTATCACCTGCAGCTTCCGCAGAGGATACTTGGGATTTCTACATCAAGTGGATGGCTGGCGTCATGTGGCTCGCGACTGCAGGCCTGGTCCAAGACAGCAAAGATTTGCAGGATGCTGTCATGCCAGACTCTCTGAAAGGTCCATAGGCTGTGAAGCATTTTGTCAGGTCACGAGCAGATGGGGGCTGTTGAGGTCTATGCCCAGGACTTGCCTCGGAGTGCAAGCGCACGAGAGCGTCAAGCAAAGTCATTGAAACAACAAACAAAGAAAGATATAACGATCTGCCCAAAGTATTTGGAGTGAGACCTTCGCTTGAAATCGCAGCGGGACAGCTTCGGCCATGGCCATGGCTCCAGCTCCAGCTTTCGCGTGTCGCATCGCAGTGTCGCCCTTTTCTGTTATGATTCAGTTATGATGTCACCGCCTTCCCTCAGAAGAACTCTTCAGAGGTTTGACTTTTCTTTCTCGTGAGGTTAGCTTAGGTAACAGCGGCCTTGAGGTTTGCCATCCTGTTCGTCCCATTCTCTTCAACCCTCCGGGCCGGAATGAGATTGTCATGGATGCTCATTCGTGCTTAGTACAGCGCCTTCCTCAAAAATGCGCGCGGCTGGAAGCAGCCACCATGTCTTGGTTTCAGACGAATCCTGGCTGGTTCTTCGGTTTATCGCCACGAGGTCAGCTTTGTTAGAACGGAAACCCCATGCAAAGTAGCCACGAACACATCGCAACACCCTCCTGGATTACTTCTCGCAAGAAAGCTACGATGTGATGAAGCGACTGCGCGTGGAGCCCGCCGGTCACTCCCAAAAAAGAACATGAAATTTCAGGTTCAAGTCGCCGTCAATGCCTACGACATGCCCAGACGTTCATGCCAAGCTTTGTCTCAAAGCTGTGAGTATTTGTCAGTGACTAGATCAAGCTGTCTTGCGAACTGGGAGGACGCATCTTGGACGGCGTTCAAGTGGTCACCAGGGGCGCTGAGGGCAACGAAGCAAACGGCGACGTTGCAGGCTCTGCTCATGTCCTTTACGTCTACACCCATGCCAAAGCTGCGCGTCCAAACATTTGGATTTGACGGATGTTGACGGATGTTGATGGTTGGACGCTAATGAGATATGTCATGGTTTCCGTCGAGGTGTCAGTGCAGACAGGGAGGCAGGCGAGGTATAGAGAGCGACAGAGAGAGAGCCCATGCGGGGCCTTGCCTGGTGAAAGACAGCGACCCCTACACCCGGCACAAAGAAAAGGAAAGAGACACATTTCCAGACGCGAGACCTAGGGTCCAAGGGTTCGCTCTTGGCCCCGAATGCCTAGCAAGCAAGCAAGACACATGTCAGATAGGTCGTAGAGAGACGACCTAGCCAACTTTGACTCTGCTCTTTCCTTGGGTGACAAGGGGCTTCTTAGAGAGACCACCGGGCTCTGTATGTTCCCTTTTCTACAGTGCTTTCCTGTTCCACCCGAGCGTCGAGAGACGCCTGGCCGCACCTGCTGCCTGTACTCGCTTTCATTTTCATTTTGCTGGGGCCCAAACAAACAACCTGCAAACTCTCGCTGCGGCTGAATGTGATTGGGCTGAGGGGACCAGGTGCTTGTGGTTGCCCAGGGTTGCAGTGAGCCAAGCAAGCCAGCAAGCCAGGGCCCCATCTTGAGGGAGGGAGGGAGGGAAGAGGGCAGGCCTCAGAGCCAGGGGGTGTCCCCACACCCCTTGCAATCAAGCACACCACGTGGCCGCGAAGTTTGGCTCGCAAGGCCCGCTTGGGCCAAATGCCTGGAAACTGGGGCAACAGGGGGCTTTTGGGACCTCATGGTGCAATCCAAGGAAACTCAACCAACTCGATCTGGGGACCAACACAGACTGCACATGGCAAAGCGCGCAGACTCTCGAGCTTTTGAACACGGAGAAGACTGGAAAGTGGTTGGGGGTAAACTTTAAGTGTTTCTGAGTCGCTTGTGCCTTCGATACTTGATGCGCTTTGGCCCGGTGACGCAGGGGAAGAGGACCACAGTGGACCTATTTGGGCTTAGCATGTGCTTATAACTACCTGTTATTTACACTGTGGTGTTGTCCCACCTTTCGTCTTCCCCTGGCAACGATCGTTAGGATCAAGCTGTGTCCGAGGCTCTTCCCCGAAAGAAAAGAAAGAGACCCAGAAAGAAGCGAGGGAGCGTGAACCTTGCAGGAAGGCCCGATGGCCTGGGGAGCTGGGAGCTTGCTCCCGTACCCCTAGCAAGCAAGCATGCGAGAGGAAGGAGGGCGAGCGATGGAGGAGAGTTGCATGTGATTAGACGATTAGACGCTGGAGACATATGTCACGCAAGCTCGCGCGGCAAGTTTGACAACGTGTTGAAAGCTTGCGAGTTCGTGCTTTGTCATCGAAGGCTTCTGGGCGAGGACTGGTCCCACTTGTTTCCGCCGGCGTCGATAGCCTCAGGTGGGAATGTGAAGGAGTGCTTCAAAAAGTTTCAGAGTGATCTGGAGACCATGGCGGCCAAATGCGATGCCTACAATGCAGCAGCCGATTCAAGAAGTTTCCCTGACTGCTATCCCATGTATGTTAACAACCCACGCGTTCTGGAAACCAGTGTGAGCGTGTAGCACAACATGCTTGTGCTTGGCTTGGTCAAAATGACCACAAGTTAATGCCCCGATTGCTTTTTGCTGACAAGGGCAAGGGCGTGAACTGGAATGGACTGTTTCACGGTTCAGGAAGGACTGATTTTGAGCTATAGTTGGTTGCCCGAATCTTGAGTGGTCGCTGGTAGCCTAAATCTCGGCTACTGCACTTGTGGTGCAGCATGTCTGCACCAAGCCCTAGCTGTAGCTCGGTGAAACCGATCATCAAAGACTTCATTCGTAGTGTGATCTTCGTTCGCTCGGTGAAACCGATCATCAAAGACTTCATTCGTGATATGATCTTCGTTCGCAAAGCAGCGAAAACATTGCCGCATTGGCGAGATGCAGTTGCTAGGCTGTATGCCGTGCCATGCCGTGCCACGGTGTCCTTGTTTCCATGCTTGCAGGTGTTCACGGACCTTCATCCGGCCAACTGGATAGACGGGGTCAAGACAATTCGAAGGTGGCTAGGCTCTTCTTGCGTTGAGTCGCCGGCATGGATGCTATGCAGACAAAAAGCCGGGCGTTTGTTTTTCTTCAGCATGTTCTTGCCTCGCTGGTGGTGCCACAGACATGTTTTGACCACGGGAGCAGATGCGTGTCGTGGACGTGTTTCGCGGCTCCACTGTAGCTTCACACCCCAGGCCGCGTCCAATCATGTCTCTCACAAACAGACTTGTAGCCTACTACTTCTATTGAAAGTCGCAAGTCTGCAGAAAGTTCCTCCTCCGTGGCCATGGCAACCATGCGACGTTGGTTCCGCAAGTCCTGGATTGTCTTGGCAGCTCTCATACTTTCCAGCGACGCTGCATTGCGGAAGCCCAGCGTCGCGGGCAAGAGCATCTACTTCATTGTGACAGATCGCTTCGCCAGGAGTGGGGCAGACAAGGACCAACTGGTGTGCAGACACTAGCAAGCTATGATAAGCTAATTCCTATTCCAGATACCCTGCTAGGACAACTACGAGTTCTGTGATCTCGCTACACTGCCCAACCCGCTTGCTCCGAATGGTGGTGCATGGTGCAATGGGACTTTGCAGGGTCCTTTGCCGCAGAAATGATTTCTAAATGATTGCATGCGGCATAGCCACATCTTTCGACTGAAGAAGTCAAAAAATCTCCGCTAGACTTCTGCTCGGAGTCATTGCCCTGGCCTTATAGTAAAACTTCAGCCACTCCAGGTATCATCGACCGTCTGGACTACATCGAAGGGATGGGGTTCGACTGCATCTGGATCACCCCGGTCGTCAAGTCTTTAGACTACACGGGTTACTATGCCCAAGATTTCTTCGATGTTGATCCGCACATTGGGACAAAAGAGACTCTTCGCGCCTTGTCCAGCGAGCTCCACAAACGAAACATGTGCCTTGTGGTGGACATCGTCGCCAACCATGTTCAACCGTTGGTGGCGAAGTCCGACAATTCTCCTGATGCTATCAAGACATACCTGGGTGTAGAAGGCATCAATCCCTTCAACAAGGAGGCTGTTGTTGGAAATCTAGGGAATCAGGTCGTACTTTAGTGGCTCCAGATAACTCAACGTAGACGAGTTTCCAAAAGAGGAGAGTGCGAGCGAGAGAGCTTCACTCGGGCTGCGCAGGAATACTATCACACCTACGGCAAATCGCCGTTAACTCCGTTCCGCGATTATGTTCTTGGAGGACCTGCGCAGGCTTCCGATAGTCAAGGCAGCGACAAAGTTCTGAAAGCCAGAGTGCCTTGGACGCGAAGGAAGCTTTGGACAGTGCAAACACATGTGCAAACAGCAATGCACTCAATGCTGCGCAGATCTGCGAGTCTCCTCTGAGGTGAAGAAAGGCTTGACGCAGTGCCTCTTGACTGCATTGTCCCAAGACTCGGAGCCTTGGGCTCCCGGTAGCTGTGGATTCCAAGCTTTGCGATCTTAGTCTGAGGTTGTGAAGTGGACATGGAGACGCGTGTAATAGACGTTCTGTTTGGGGCCACAACTTCTGCCAGTCGCCACACGATCTAGCTTTGGAGGCTAACTAAGCCGTTCTTACTCACGGTGATGCGGACCAGTACAGGCTTCGCCCAGGCCCATTCACTCGGTTTTGCGCTTCCTCTTTGAACCCGAAGCTTCCAGGGAATGTCCTTTCCGTCTTGCCCGCTTCTCCTTGGTGTTCCTTTTGATTGCCTATCCCAATTCCATGAAAGTGGATGGAACCGTGCCGCATGTGCCGCGCGAGCCCTCCACCAGGGTTGGAACAGGCAGAAGAAGTGACAACAAAAGGGGATAAGTTCAACCTTGAGCAAGGCATTTCTAAGGCCTTGTGGGGGTGCTGTCTATCTAGTGCCCGCTTCGCTACTAAGCTACTAGAACCTTGAGCTCGACGAGCAAAGAAGCGCATTCCCCGTTGAGTCCTTGCATGACGAAAGTTCAGAGCACAAGCTGTTGTCCAGCGTGTTCTCAAACAAAGCCCTCGCTGAAACCCTTGCTGCAGGGCTGCTTTCAGAAATTCAACAAGACAAATCGCAAGGTCAGCAAGCAGAGGGTTGCGCTGCGCAGGTTGCAGCAGACGTTCATCCCATCCGCTTTTTGACACCAAGGTGGCCCTCTCAACATGAACCTGACGGAGTGCAATTGTTTTCCCGGCAACAGCGGGCCAGATTGTCCAGGCGATAATCCCGAATTACAAGTCCAAGGATGGTTCGGGATTCTTCCTGATCTCAACCAGGACGGCACCTCGAAGCGGAGATGTGGTTTTGCAGCTTTTCGAGGCTACCCTCGGACATTCCGTGTTTCTCAAAGTTACTTTTGCTCTTTCGACCTGCGCTGCAATTTGCTGCTACACCGCCACTACTAGTGCTGCTGCTGTTTCTGCTTCTGCTACTGCTACATACTGCTACTATACCTACTCTCCCTCAACTGGGGGCAGTGGCCGCTTCTAGGCCTAGGCACCTCTGCAGTGGCCGAAGTTGCAGGGGCTTCTTAACTGTCACAACGGCTGAAGTTGGAGAGGCTCTGGCCCTAACCCTGCGACAGCAGCTGGATTAAGGGGACGTTCTGGGAACAGGCGGATAGGGGTGGGGGCGGAGGTGCATCGGGTGCTATTGATGGTTTAGTGTGGGGGACCTCAACACCGTGAATCCATCATGCCTGGAAATTGGCAAGGCTAGTTCTGAGCAACCCCCCACCCCGTGTATAGGGGGTATATACTCAGCTGGAATTGCAAACTCGGACGGAGAAAAAGCCGTCAAACCAAAGGTGGGTAGATCGCAGGAAGCGCTGAAAACACTGTGCAAAACGCAGGTGCAGCGGAGAAATTTTTGACATTACAAAAACCTGCAGCGCAGAATCTCATAAAGATTAACAGCGGGCTCTGCCAGGCAGGTCGTTGTCATACCCGCAACTGGGCCTGCAACAACACCTCCCCGGCCTTGAACACAGCCTCTCCAAAGCCAAAGCATCAAATGGCACTTGTGGGGTCTGTTGGCTGCGAAATGCTGCGAAGCTCCTCGGCTTCCAGCTCGACATGCCTTTCAATTCCTCCTCCATTGGTTTCTTCGCAAAGCTCCAAGACTGGAAGTTCTTCGTCGACGTGTCCCACACTTCGAACTAGCGGCATGCGAAGAAACTCCCGAGGCCGCGGGCCCGACCTCGTCGAAGGCAGGCACGAACCACCAGAAGTATCCGACAGCAGGAGACGCAGATGGTCGGATGGCAGATAACCACCGTGTTGGTCGACACCTGTTCGTTGTGCCCTCCAGGTTCTGCAACGGAAGGTTGTCCCGACAGGTTGGCACCATCAAAAACACTCAGCGGCGGCGCTGCTTGTGGTGCCCGGGTCCCACCATCTCTTGCTATGACCCCTCGTCCAGCTCTGAAACAGAAGCTTGTCCTGAAAGCCCTGGGCCATCACTCGTGGGTACATTGCTCTGGTCGCATCTCCAATTTCTAGCCTCTCGGCCGCATTTCGAAGGCATAGGCGGTTGCTCAAAACATCTCCCGGGGGAACATGCTGTCGTCTCGGGCGAAGCCGCTGTCACCAACATCCATGCTATGCACTGGCTTGCAAAGCTTGGGCAAGTCCGAGCTGCATCTCCTTGACCCCCATCAGACTCCCATCCGTGATGACGTGCTGGAAGCGGCAACCTGCCAGTTCTGTGGGAACAGAACACGGTTGAGCCGCTTTTTGCAAGCAGCAAGCAGCTGACGATGCTGTCTGGACGAAGGAAGTGCAAAACGGCATGCTTGTGCAAAAACCGGTTCTAGATTGAGATACAGCGCCGTCCCAAGACTGATGACAGGATGCCGCCCGTTCGCTCACACAACCCATTTTGCCACTGCGCCTGCGCGCCGATGTGAAGCACAACCACGTTGTGCTGGCTGGAAAGGTTTCGAGGTCCATGCTTGCGAACTCACACACAGACCAGGGTCCGGGCATTCCGAACACTGACGCCGAGCGCTCCTCCCTTTTTCGGCTCGCAAGCCAAATCTTCGGCCATGGCAGGGCTGTAGTTCAGCAAGGGCGAGGACTGCAGGCCGCAGGCGACAAAGAACTCACAGCCAAGAAGGGCTCAGCCAGATGTCTTCCTCCTCGGTCACCGCAATGGCGTGCTGCTAGTTGCGGGCACTCACCTGGACATTATTGCACTGAGCTTTCGCCCTGTTCCACGCCAAGCCATGATCAGTCGTCGTCCCGGATGAAGTTGTTGCTTGCAGTTGCGGGGCTTGCATCGTCATAACGTCTGCAGCATTGGTGCCAGCAGGGTTTCCATCCTGTGGTCCCTTGCTTCCGTCATCCGCTGCACGAGCAGCTCGGCCTGCGAAGATGGGTCCAGCCATCATCGATCCATCCGCGTGCGGGGTTCGCCTTGAGGTTCTTGAGGGCGAATCGGTGCTTGTCCTCCATTAACAGGCTGGGAAACGAGTTCAGATCCGTTCACGCACAGCGGGAAGGAGGTGGCCCAGGACTTGAACGTGGGGCATGAAGGCGTGTACCTACCACGAAAGTCGGCGAGTCGGAGGCGGGACTTGGAGGCTGGACTCACGCCGGGGGGTAATGAAGCAAGTGCGCTCCAGTGGCTGGTGGCTCAAGTTCGGACCGACATAAGGTTCCGGCTTCGGTGGGGCTCCAGTGAGAGACGGCTAGTGTGGGAACCATCCGGCGCCGAGGACGTCCCCGACAAAGGGAACAGCGACACCCACCGACCACATGCGGGAAATCCTTCAGCTACTGCTACAGTACAGCACCGGCTACGTGAAGCAAACAATCAAGCCGAAGGTGAAGGTGGTACCGGGACCGGAAGTGGTGAGCGGGACCGATGTTGGGCCCACCGATCCCGGAATTCCTTCAGCTTTGCTCCAAGACAGGGCCAGCGCCCTTAGAACAAGCTGGCCATCCAGGTGGGGGGCACGAAGCTTTCGCCGTCCAGAACCAAAGTTCGATGCAAAAGACTTTCCTCTTCGAACCACTTGTGCAATGCCCAGGACCCAGAAAACCGGGGTCACTGGCATGTTCTCCAAGGAGACGCGTATTGCGGGAGACTTTTGGAGCCCGGTGGAGAGGGAAGCGGCCGTGCAGCTTACAGTGTTCAACCCAAACAAAGAAGAAAAGCTCAATGTGAACACAGCCATGAAAGAATCGTGCGCCGATGAGTCTTGACACTGTGAACAGCCGTGCTTGTCTTCCGTTGCTCTTTTAGGCTTGGGTCTCCTTGCTTTGAAGAAGCGGGGGAAAGGGGGGCTCTTGCTGTAACCGGGCTGCTGGACAACGAGGCCTGCTGCAAAAAGGCTCACCCAAGCTGCTAGCTTGCTATGCAGCACGCAAAAGGCCTGTAGCTGCCTTGTGTTCTAGGGTCGTTAAAATTTTGAGACGACAGGACAATAGCAACTATTGTAAATGACAAGTAAACTAGGTGTGCTGTTCAGAACTTGTAGTTGGAATGGTATACTTCGACTGCGACGACTTCGATTATTGTTATTATTCATCCCTTATTTTGGGCCTGAAATTTTAATATTAGCGGGATGTCGGGCGGTTTTAGGCTTGATTTTCCCAAACAGGCAAGGGTCCGCGCCTAACGAAAAGCATGGGACGGGGCCGGTACGCTTTAGTCTGGGAGAGCCGGTTTCGAGACAGCAATTGCTCGTCCTAGCCTGGGAGTTCCGACAACGCCACGCGCGACTTTTGATAGGTGTTTTCATTCGCCTAGCCTGGGAGTTCCGCATCGAGACTGTAGTGAATCATGCAAGATATTCTGGAACTCCCAGGCTAGGCGAGTGAAAACACCTAAAAAAGTTCCGAGGCTAGGGCGAGTAATTGCCTAGCCTTGTACCAATCCACGCCCATTTGCCTTGCCTGCGGCAAGGTCCGCTACGCACCCAGTCCAAAATCATCCCCCTGATATTAAAAATCCTGTTGTTTGCAATGGCCCCAGGCTGCGGATATCCAATTCTCCATGCCGGCCGTTCCAATTCCAAATGCGACCCTTCTGGACCGCTAAACCCTGAAATTCCCGCATCCGGACTCCCTCGGACGCCGCGTTACTACTCCAAATGCCAACTTTCCAAATTCTCTAGGCGGCCCTAGCCTGGTAGTTCCAAATCCGTGATGGCCGGCCTGCCTGACCCCTAATTCAACATGCTTTTAAATCTACTAATTTTTGAACTTTTCGCGGGAAACTGGAAAATTCTCCGGCCTGTGAATTCTTTAGATTTAGGGGGAGTTATTCAACGGATGAGGGGATTACTATTACTGCCAACACTACTGCTACTGCTACTGGACCTGCTTCCAATACTACCGCGATGACGACTACCACTTCGACTTCCAC